AACCAAACCAAGCCCAACCAAGCACAATAGGAAACATCATTCAGGGCCATTAACAGGACTACAAATAGAAATAGACAGGACTGAATCATTTGTTCCACTCTTACCATTCTTAGGTTGGTTCTGACACACAACCGGGGTATAATTATGTATTTCACAATGTATTATCTAACTAGGGCCAGTGAAGGTAAATCTCTAGGGACTGTATTTTTACCTGTTATGGAAAAAACTCCTGTCCCTATAGTATCATCATACACCTGCCTCCAATGAATATTCACTACAGATCATAAAATCACTGTCCACACCACACTGTATTAAGTAGTTTGTTTATTGGCATCAGTGGTCCAAAAAAAAAATCAAGAAAAAGAAAAGCTGGAGGGATCAGGTACTGAAACACATCTCTGTAAGAGGTTGGCTGTTGGCTGTGATACATATTGAAACAGAAAGATAGACCGGTAGGTAAACCTGAAACAGTGCTGAAGTCCAGACAAAGTGCTGGTTGGTGCACAACATAAATAAAATAAATAGTCATGCAAAATAACAAAATGTAACAATGGCAGAGTAAAAGACACAATAAAAACCCAATATTGAAAAGCAGGGTGTATTCATTAATCCAGAAACCAAGTGCTCATGGTGCGAAGGTTGGAGAAAGTATGTGGAAAGAAAGAAATCCCTATTTGGTGGTCCGTCTGAACAGGAAAAACATGACCAGGAGAATCCTTCCCTTAGGTTCAATGCCCTCATCAGTCCCTCAGTAGTGACTATATTGTCCACCGTTTCCAGTGCAGGGAATTCCTGATGTTTAAGCTCAACATACATTAAGAGAAGCCGTAACACTACTAGTCATTTAAGCTCTGTAAGACAGTTTATTAAAGCCTGCACTCTGACTTTAGTAATGTACATTTTACTGCAAGTATGTACAGAGTTTTACTTAAAAGAACAGATGGTTTAATAAGCCTTCCCTTTCTGCTCTTAGCACATTACTAATAGTACATTGAGGAGCTTTGCTAGAAGCCAATTAAAAGAAAATAGAATATTTAAGATATTATCTCCTTTGCTTTCCAGATTCGAGTAGACACCTTTATTCAAGCAACAGTAACCATCGGTTTCGGACCTCTTCTATACAATGAAAAACAGAAACATGGCTTAATACTACATGGGCATCTGAGGCATTGTATGTTTAAAGATGGAAGCCCACACGTCAGTCTCACACAAACTACATTATCGCTGTAACAGGATTGGCTTTCATTTTAAGGCAGGCGAACAGACACTCAATAAATATAATTAATGAAATGGTCAGAGCAGGTAATCATAATTCACACACTCACACAAAAAACAAGCAATTGATTTACTGCAAATACTAGCATACAACCCAAAAAATTATAATAGCAAAATAATTAATAGTGCAAAATGTAAAAATAGTGAAAACAAAATGATAACGTAGCTGCATTTAAACAAGCACACCCACTTAGCTAGCCATTATCTTGCTCTTGTCCAGGGCATTAGTGCTGCTTGATAACACTGGCTCAGAGTTAGCAAGCCACACAAACAGACTGAACCAGACAGAGTTAGCCGTTATCCAGCTTTCAATCAAGCCTTTTTCCAGAAGGTGATATGACTTGTAACTTAAAATGTAAACCATACACTTACATACAAATACGTGGATAAATAAACAAACCAAAACTTGGATGACCAGCTCAAGGGGTACTAAGGCCCTTCCAGTAGAGATGGGACAAACAGTGATAAACAGAGACATTCTAGGGAAAGCAGAATCTGAATATAAAGGCCTAGTTGCATAGGGAAGACACAACTCAAGCTAAAGCTTCTGTCTTTTAAAGTTTTGTACGATTAAAGTACAGTACCTCAGAAAGTAGAAGAAGAAAGATAGGAGGAGAGGAAAAGGCAACAATGCAGAGAAAACATATATTATTGCCCAAGTGTAGTTCAAGTAATGGAAAAAGGGGATCCAAAAACACATATACAGTACACACACACTCAAGCAAATTCTTACACACACTGGGGCCCTCATCCTCCACCACCAGTCATTTGAGCTTAGACCAGTCACACTACTGGGGGTCATAGATCCCCCCAAATAACCACCTTTCTCACACACACACACACACACACGACTGATATGGCTCTAGAGTGAGAGCACTGAGTCATAGCAGTAGAACGAGTCCCAGCTCCTGTGAGTTTGAGATGGCTTGTGTAACATAACTAAGCCCTGCATGGTCTTTTCCATGGACTGTAATTTGGGCCCTCTGTGGCTGAGGCCTGGAGATGTAGGGCTGACCTGATGGAACTTTTCCTACTGAGTATAATGGAGACAGCCAAAAAATCCACCAGCCTCTAGCCCTATAGGACAGCAGTAGGGAGTAGCTGCCCCTATCCCTCTCCAGGAAAAAGTATACATGATAGGATGATATGTGATTTGAAAATAACTATGACTCAATCTCATTCTAGTTTCAAGTCTGTCTTGATCATAATAAAGTGTCCCCCACTTGGACCCTCTTATTGAATATGTCTGGATAAAGGGTTGGTGGGTTAGAGGGGCTCCAAGGGGTAATAGGTGAGTTAAATAAGCAAACTCATCCTTCAATACAGTGGCTACTAGCCCAGTCTGTGGCTTGACATCCTAATGAACATGCATAAATAGTGCAGAAACATGTGAATGGGAGGAAAAGAGAGAGTGAAGTGCAGAGAGACAGTGTAGGGAAGGAGGGACATGTATCCTAATGTAAAGTTGAGATATATAGTCCAAATATATAGGGAGTTGCGACATCACACCAACATAGTCCAGATATAGTCTATAGTGACATCACACGAATAGTCCAGATATAGGCTATAGATATAGGCTATAGATATAGCCTATAGTGACATCACACCAACAGAGTCCAGATATAGGCTATAGATATAGGCTATAGTGACATCACACCAATAGTCCAGATATAGGCTATAGATATAGGCTATAGTGACATCACACCAATAGTCCAGATATAGGCTATAGATATAGCCTATAGTGACAACACACCAGCTGTTCTTCTTTTAAGCAGCTGTTTGGTCACCTGGTGTGTGTACGTCTGTGTGGACAGGTCACCTCGTAAAACCTTCAGGTGGTGTGTGTGCGACTGTGTGTGTGTGTCCAGAACATCAAGAAGACGCATCACTGCTGTTGAGGACGCATCACTGCTGTTGAGTCAGCATAGTCCGTCTCCCTTTATTTGTTGTGTGTGTTTGCGTGTGTCTGTGTGTGTGTTTGTCTGTGTTTGTGTTTGTGTGTTTGTGTTTATGTGTGTATGTGGAGCACAATGAAGACAGCAGAAAGCAGAGAGGCTAAGAGGCAGAGCAGTTCCTCTCCGGTGGGTGTTGCGTTGGTGTCCATCTCCCAGGTGAGAGTGACGTCAGCTTAGCTCACAAAGCAGGTGTGTGTGAAAGAGCATAACCCTTTCTTAGTCATCAACACTCTCACTGTGTATCCTGGCCAGCTCACACACACACAAAACACACATGCTTCCATTGACTTTGGAGAGAGTAGCTCTGTGGAGTGGCACCGCTGTTTCAATCTGTGTGTGTGTATCTCCGGGTGTATGGGGAGTGTGTGTGCGTCCCAGGGTGTGTGTATTTGTGATCAGGTGTACTGGTAAGGCAGTGTGAAGCAGCCTGGTGTATCATCGTCAGGGCTCCAGAAGGACGAGGGTGTCTTATGGTGGAGCTCTCTGTGTACGCAGCGTGGACACGGCTGGGCCTTCTGAAAACACTCTGTATGGAACACCGCTCCACAACCATCACATCTGGACACATACACACCAAGCACAGAGTCACAAACATCAATACAACACAAATCTGAAGGGGGAAAAAAGCATATTAGTTTCAGCTTGTAGGTTGGTCAATTTCACTGGATGTCTGACATTTATGAGCTGGAAATATAGATTTCTAGATTAACACATCACTGTACTAAAAGACTGGATTAACATTAGTTTCACCAAGGCCTGTCCAGCCCTGTCTGTAAGCTTGATCACGTTGCCACCCTCCCAGGTATCTATAGGACAAGACAGCATTATACACAGGTGGCAGTATCTAGCGATCTGCTGAGCAACACGTGTATCTTAACTGCTAGAAGATAAGATGAGATACACCTTGTTTTGCATCCATTTAACTAGGCTACACAGTACACCTTAAAACTTATGGAACACAGAATGGTGAAAGCATTTACTTTGCCTGAAAATAACAACATTTGGAGTGACATTTAGAAAGTTTTTAAAAATACCATAAATTGGAATAAACTATGTAGAACATATTTCAAAAATTATTATGGAATGCATCAGATACAACATATCCATAGCCACTTGCACCAACATGTGGCACCAGTCCCATAGAATCCAATTCTTCACCTATTGATGGTTAACAGTGTCTATATGGCGGGCTACCTAACTGAGTGTCCCAGGCTATGTTATGGATGGGGTGGTAAAGCTGATGCAACCAGATCAGGAGAGGAGCAGGTCCTGCCCTCGGGGGTCAAAGTCTGGCCCAGGGACTAGGCTGTTACTCTTACTACAACTGGTTTACTATCACTATCAGTTAACATGATACTTCCTTGCCAAGGGCAATAAACCCTGGTCAAGTAACAGTTGAGGTGTGCCATCCAGCCTGATAGTGAAGGGTGTGTGTGTAGCGAGCACTGCAATTAAATCATTAGCTCTAGTCTACAACATATTCAGTAAGCTGAAGAAACCACATAATGCTTATGTGGGGTGTTGATATCTTTAAAGCTAGTTGAGCACACATTAATATAATATATTCACTTCAGCAAAGACCGTAACTGACACACACACACACCTCTGCTTCTCACGGCCCTGCCTTCAGAGGTTCTCCGTTAACCCAGAAGAGAGATGTGTGAGCTGAGCTGAGGCAGCAGAGATCAATAATTCAAGAGTGTGTGGACAGACTAGACACTAATGAATGTTTTATCTGCCTGCTGTCTGTCTCTCTCTCTGGCTTCTGGCCTAGAGCAGCACAGCCACGTCTGGCAATCTCTCCTCTCCTCTGTCCTCTACGCTGTCCTCTCCTCTGTCCTCTACGCTGTCCTCTCCTCTGTCCTCTACGCTGTCCTCTCCTCTGTCCTCTACGCTGTCCTCTCCTCTGTGCTCTACGCTGTCCTCTCCTCTGTCCTCTACGCTGTCCTCTCCTCTGTGCTCTTTTCTCCTCTTCTCCACCTTCCTGCAATGTTCTCTCCACTCTGTGGCTCAGCAAAGGGGACATCAAACCACCCTGAGGTGAGAGAGGGCCATTCCTTATCAGTGGCATGTCATAAGGCTCAGGCAGAGGGAGACAAGGACAGAAACAGGGATAGAGCGAGGCACTAGGGGGATTAACTGTTACTCTCCAGCAGGGTGCCATGTTCTCCCTGTCACCCATGCCCCTGCCAGCCGGTGTAACTAACAAGAGACAGAGACACACTCCTCTTTACTCCATTCATTCTTCCAGGATGCCATCATGCAAGTAGCTGATCTGAGATCAGTTTTCTCTGTTACCTTGAATAGTTAATAAGGTTAAGATTGTGGGAGTATTAAGCTGATCCTATATCGGTGCATAAAGGGGCCTCACCTCTTGGTGGTGCTCTCCTGGAAGGGGTAGATGACCTGTCCGTTCTGACACATCTCACAGATGAAGCCCTTCTCTCTGCACTGGCTGCAGCTGAAGACGTGGGAACTGGCAAACTTAATCACCTTGGAGAGAAAGGGGGCCAGCTTCCCATCAATCACCTGTAGAGAGAGAGAGGTAGGGAAGGAAGGAAGGAGGGATGGAGATAGACAGAGAAGAGAGAGAAGGAAAAAAAGGAATAGTGGATTAAGTGAAATACAATGTACTTTCCAAAACATTCTCTTCCTCATTCTACATTATAGAATACAAATTATACATTTTCTAAATTCTCATTCTAAATCAACCATTCTATTTCCCATCTATAAGAATGCACTGCTGTAATATATTATCCTATACAGAGAGAAGAAGACAGCAGAATTTTCCCTGGGAGGATAAACACTTTTAATACAGGTCCCAACGGGAACCACTGCAGCGCAGCGCTGGGAGGAGATGGACAAGAGTTCACGTCAGGAATTCACATCGGGAATTTACATCAAAACTAATGAAGGCCCTGGGAGAAAGGCTGGCTGGAGGGGCCTGGGGGGCGGGGGGATAACGGAGGGGGAAGTACTTTTTTGGGGGGCCGTTTTAGCAAAATATTATATGTGAATGCCGTTTACTGGGCCGGCGGGCAAGTAGTTAAAACCGGCAGGGCCTTTGATTCATGGGGGCCTGGTAGAGAGCATTGTGGCTCTGTTGAATGGGGCTGGGGAAGGGAATGGGCCTGGCCTGAGTGGACCTCCAGAGAACACTGAGGGAGGCTGGGGGGCAGACACAAGTGGCTACACCTGGCAGCGCTGGGACTGCACCAATTAAGTCCTGCCAGGCATTCTTCAGCCTGGAGGAGAGAAGAGAAGGAGAAAGGACGAGAGAGAGAGAGAGGGACAGAGGGAAGGAGAGGCTGAAGAAGGAGGATGGGGATAGGGAGGGGGTTGAAGGAGAAAGGAGAACGAAGAAAGGAGGAGAACCCACCGACCCCCACTCCTACACACGCACATGCATACGTACACACAATGGAGATGGATAACTGAAAAGGTACTCTGCAGGGGAGGGGGAGGTTATGTCTGTTTGGTTTGGACAGAGAATGAGAGATTACATGATGTAATACTAACAGCTCATGACTAACTACCTAGAGAATGGGCGACAACCAGGAACAGTCCTTATAACTCTTCAAGCAGTGGCTGAAAACACACCACACCATCCCTCCATCTTTCCATCCTTCCAGCCCGGAGGCTGTGGCAACCCCAGTCTGAGAGAGCTACAACACTGTGAATAATGCTGTTTAGCATGGTGACATGAGTCAGGCTTTAGCCCAGCAATCAAAGGCTGTGTGTAGTGTGGAGTAGGCAGGCAGGCAGCCAGTCAGGCAGAGCAGCCAATCAGTCAGTCAGTCAGCCAGAAATCCAGAGAGCCAGTCAGGCAGAGCGGCCTGCCAGCCAGCCAGGCAGTGCGTGCCCCATCCCCTAGCCAAGGCCAGCACAGATGATATATGCCACCCCTGATCAATGCTGACACCTGGGGTAATTAAGACACTCCATAATTTAGCTTAGCAGAATGAAACGGCTGGCAACACACCACACCGGGTTCTGACTGGGACTGATGCTCAGTGGACAAGGAGAGAGGGAGATTAAGGGAAACAGAGGGAGGGAGAGAGGATGGAAAGAGACAGAGGGAAGGAGAAAGTTGCAGAGGGAGAGAGATGGAGAGAGTTTGAATTGAAGGGAGAGAAATGGCAGGAGAGGTGTGAATGGGAGATGCTTTCGGAGAAAAAGAAAGCAGAAAATGGCAGTAGCCCTAGGTTTCCCTTTCTTTGCCAACCAGGTGGATACATTCTCCTCAGAGAAGTGACCCCCCACCTACAGCTAGTCTGAGGAAGGGGTGCAGTCAGAGTGGGGAGGAGAGGGGCCACCATTCGTTTGTCCTGCCTGCAGCTGCCTTCCTCCTTCGCTGCCTTCCTCCCCCCCACCTCCTTCCACCAACACCCCCCAACCAAATCCTCCTCACCCCCCACCCCTCATAAAGTCACACCCCTCTGGCCCTGTCCCGTGCGGGGGGCTTTGTGGTCCAAAAGGCTTAATCCCCTAAAACCTCTGTTTAACATCCACTACTTTATCCCTCCCCAGTGTTCCCCTGATGAAGGCCGGGCCTCCATTAGCGATGCTCAGAAAGCCACCCGGATTACACACATAAAGACAGGGTGAGCTCTGTTTGGATAACACCCCTCTCACCAAACAGGATTACTACCAGCCCCAGTGTGTGTGTGTGTGTGTGTGTGTGTGTGTGTGTGTGTGTGTGTGTGTGTGTGTGCGTCTGCCAGTGAGTGAGAGCGTTTGATTGTGGAAGACGTGTAGTGGGGAGTGTGATTATGGACGAGAGCGAGTGAGAGATAGAGATAGAGAGTAAGAATGTCTATGTATGCATGTGGGACTTGGAGGCAGTGGTGTTTGAGCTTTGTTATTTTAAAATGCAGAAATATGTGCAACTTTTGAGTTTAAAATCAACATCTTACAGTTAAGAAAAAGCTGCATAATTACCATTTACCAACAGCTCTCAAAATGACCAACATGCCCCTAACCCAGTGAGCGTGCCAGTGTAAGGGCATACATGCCTAAAGTCTGTGTCTATGCCTGCAGGGTGCCTATGAGAAAGTGTCTGGTCTCTACTAGTGTCTGGTCCTTGTGTCTACGTCAATGTGGCTACTAGATAGCCTGTGATGTGCGTAAGTTGCATGCCAGAGTGTCAGTGTGGGAATCTGCCCTATTGCACGTATGTGCGTGTCACCGTGGCCACCGTGCAATTCGGGCCGGGGCTGCTCAATGCCCCTTTGTCCCTCCAGTTGTTTGTAGGTCGTTGGCAGGACTAGGACTGCTGCCCCGGTACACGACACACAATACAATTAGCATCTATATGGCACTCCTCAGTCCTCCACAACAAGCCCATCTCCCCATCCCACTACTTTACAACTGGAAAAGCAAAAACGGTTCAATGCAGCAACAAAAGGGCCAGTAGCCAAACAAGTCCAGCCTCTGGGCAAACAAATATGGCCAACAGTCTGATGGTTTAAAGACGGAGGCTGCTCCAAATAGGACGCGTTTGTTGGGAGTTCAATAGCAAAGAGACAAGTGCACTGCTGCTTTCTATGAAGGACTGGGTCTAGTCTATAACTAGCCAGGGAGAGACGGTTCAGTCTTCATTGATCTCGCTGGGCAACAATAAAAGCCAGGCTTGATGAAGGAGCTCTGATTATTCAGGTGAAATAAAAGAAACAGCTCGTTAATATGGAAAGCGAATTAAGAAGCTGTAAGAGAGGAAGCAAAGAGAGTGAGTGAGAGAGAGAGATAGAGAGAGAGATAATGGGGGAAAACATATGGGGGAAAGTGTACTTGGCAAATAGGTTCTAATCGAATTAATCGATTAAGGGGAAAACAAATGCAGCCGTCCATTGATTAATCATTGTTAATCACTGAATTGTTGAGCTGTTTGTAACTTTGAAAGCAGTTGTCAAGCAGTGAGTAAGTTGCTTGTAGCAGCATGTCTGTAGTAGCATGTTGCTGTGTCCTAAACTTGAGGTAATCTTTGAGCCGTCTTTTAGTTTGTTTGACATGGACATCACAACCTCGCTGAGTGTTGTGTGCAGTCCACTAGAGAATGTGAGAGTGACACACACAGACCTAGAGAGAGAAAGAGAGACAGAGGGGGAGAGAGATTGGGAGGGAGAGAGGGATGGAGAGAGGGGTGAGAGGGGATAGAAGTATAGAGGGGGTAAAGAGGAGGAGAAAGGAGATAGAAGGATAGCAAAAGAGGGGGAAGAGAGAGACTGTGTCAGGCCAGCGGATGTAGGAAAGAATGGTGGACTGTCACACTCTTGTTTTCCTGCCTGTTGATTCTGAATGTGTGTAATTAGTGAACGGGCCAAGGGGAGATGGGGACATGGAGGGAGCAGGGAAGGGGTAGCAGAGGGCTGTGGACTCTCACTGGGTTGTTGAGAGGAGGGGGGGGGGGGGGGGGGGGGGGGGGGGGGGGTCAGAGAGAGAGCGAGCGAGAGAGGGGTACACCACTGAATGACTAAAAGTATGTGGACACCTGCTCATTGAACATCTCATTCCAAAATCATGAGCATTAACATGGAGTTGGTCCCCCCTTTGCCTTTGCTGCTATAACAGCCTCCACTCCTCTGAGAAGGCTTTCCACTAGATGTTGAAACATTGCTTCCATTCAGCCACAAGAGCATTAGTGAGGTCGGGCACTGATGTGACTAGGCCTGGCTTGCAGTCGGCATTCCAATTCATCCCAAAGATATTCGATGGGGTTGAGGTCAGGGCTCTGTGCAGTCCAGTCAAGTTCTTCCACACCGATCTCGACAAACCATTTCTGTATGGACCTCGCTTTGTGCACGGGGGCATTGTCATGCTGAAACTGTTGCCACAAAGTTGGAAGCACAGAATCGTCTAGAATGTCATTGTATACTGTAGTGTTAAGATTTCCCTTCCCTGGAACTAAGGGGCCTAGCCCGAACCATGAAAAACAGCCCCAAACCATTATTCCTCCTCCAACAAACTTTACTGTTGGCACTATGCATTGGGGCAGGTAGCGTTCTCCTGGCATCTGCCAAACCCAGATTTGTCCGTCAGACTGCCAGATGGTGAAGTGTGATTCATCACTCCAGAGAACGCATTTCCACTGCTCCATAGTCCAATGGCGGCGAGCTTTACACCACTCCAGCTGACACTTAGTATTGCGCATGGTGATCTTAGGCTTGTGTGAGGCTGCTCGGCCATGGAAACCCATTTCATGAAGCTCCTGACGAACAGTTCTTGTGGTGACATTGCTTCCAGAGGCAGTTTGGAACTGAGTGTCGCAACAGAGGACAGATGATTTTTACGCGCTACGTGCTTCAGCAATCGGCACTCCCGTTCTGTGAGCTTGTGTGGCCTACCACTTCGTGGCTGAGCCGTTGTTGCTCCTAGACGTTTCCACTTCACAATAACAGCACTTACAGTTGACCGAGGCAGCTCTAGCAGGGCAGAAATTTGATTAACTGACTTGTTGGAAAGGTGACATCCTATGACGGTGCCACATTGAAAGTCACTGAGCTCTTCAGTAAGGCCATTCTACTGGCAATGTTTGTCTATGGAGATTGCATGGCTGTGTGCTCGATTTTATACACCTGTCAGCAAAGGGTGTGGCTGAAATAGCCAAATCCACAAATTTGAAGGGGTGTCCACATACTTTTGTATATATAGTGTATATGGAATTGTTTTAAGAAGGTCATACCAAGGATAATTTTGCTATTTGATTTAGAATTTTAAGACCCTTGAAGTCCCCCCCCAAAAATATGAAAAAATAATTTGATTTAAAAAAACTGCTATTAGCTCATACAAACGCACTGAATAACAGATTCACTACATGGAACAACAGATAGTCCCCCCCAAAATTTGGAAGTGTGACATAGGCGGATGCGGGAGACAGATGCATCCAATGCAAAAAAACAGATATCTCTAGTTTAAACTGCCAGATTGCTATGGAGAAGAAAAAAAATAGTATGCTAATTAGATCGACCTTAGGGGGTTAATAAAGGGATACTTCAGGATTTTGGCAATGAGCCCTTTATCTAATTCTCCAGAGTTAAGAAGGATGTTAGAAGTAGTTTCGTGAACCAATGCTAACTAGCGTTAGCACAAGGACTGGAAGTCCATTGCTATCTGCTAGCATACACTAGGTAGCATTGGCTCGCAAAACTACCTCTAACTTCCTTCATACTGGAGACAGAGACATAAAAATGGTATCCCTGAGTTCATCTGACTCTGGGGGAAGTAGATAAAGGGCCTCATTGCTAAAATCCCGAAGTATCCTTTTAAACGTTGGAGGAAATGCATTCCTAGCATGTGAGGAATGTGTTTGATGGCTTCATAAATGCTAGCCAGCTAGCTTTTTAGAAAAATTGTTTTGCTAACCTGTTTGCAATCGCTTTAGCTTTGCTAGCTAGCTTGCTGGCTAGTTAGAGAGGTTGGCTGGCTAGTTAGCTACAGTAGTTGGCTACTGCCATCAAGTTGTTGTTGTGTTATTATCAGATTTAGCCTTTTCTACCGTTTGCAGAATGCATACAGGCATTTGAATATAGCGTGGGGAAAGGGAATCTGGACACAATGTGGACACGGTAGACACATTTAAAATGTAGGTGTAGACCAGGGTTCCCCTACTGGTGGTTTTATTTGGCCCCCAAAGTTTAAAAAAAAATTAATAAAAAATAAATGAATTTTCATTGTTGTAAAAACACCAGGAAATCAACTCCAAGTCATTTTAATTTAGGATACCTGTTCCCAAGAATTCCCACATATAATAGAGAGACACATGATCGTATACAAATGTAAGAAAAGTTTGAAATTATTATGGTTTAGTCCAATATTATAACTGTTTGTGCTTCTTGCAGTCAATTTGCAGTCTACAAATTATTTGTAATTATATTCCGGCCCACTGACCATCCGCTCAAGACAAAAATCTAGTTGATGATCCCTGGTGTAGAAGCATGACATGTTCGTAATTCCATGATCAGAACTCCATGATCAGAATACAAAAGCTGCATGAACTATCAAGTATAGACATGACCTAAACTCAGCCTACGTGTCTTACCTGCTGCAGGTCAGCCAGTGAGTAAAGGTGGATGTGTTGCAGTAGGTATTCTCTGGGGAAGATCCTATGGGGAGAGAGAGAGCATTACGTCAATGCATAGATGCAGTAAAGAGGTCAATGGAACACAGACTGTGGGGAATAGAAGGAGGACGTTGGATTGCTGCACGTTCAACAAATATGATCAACAGGCCCACAATGTGGTTACTAAAGTCTGATTTGTATCTATCAGGCTGTTTTCGCTGCATAACATTTAGAAATGGTCCTTTTCAGGATAATAAGAAGTGACTGCTAAATGCTAACTCCCGTTCGTACAAGCTGGTAGCATAGTTAGCATACAGAAATTGGTGGTGGTAGTCAAAGTCGTTTTGACGATGAAATGAACATGTATTGGGGTTGACGTCCATAAAAGCATTATACTTCAATTTTTACCTCAACATAGTGTGAAATACACATATAAACAATAGCCTAAATGTAGGGTAATTTTGCTGGGGGGAAATGAGGAGATTCTGGATCTTTCCCCCACGCGTTTCCATGGCATTTCCATTGTTTTGGTAGAGTTAGATTGACCTCTTTGTATTCATTCAATTAATGGAATATTTTCTTAGAACCATAACTTATATCCTTTCATAATATATAATAATACATACCATTTAACAGACGCTTTACAGCAGTGCGTGCATATATTTTCATGTTTTATTTTGTAATTTTGTAGCTCAGCTGGTAGAGCACGGCGCTTGTAACGCCAAGGTAGTGGGTTCGATCCCCGGGACCACCCATACACAAAAATGTATGCACGCATGACTGTAAGTCGCTTTGGATAAAAGCGTCTGCTAAATGGCATATTATTATTATTATATTATAACTAAACTGACCGGGAGCTTCAAAGTACTCGTATGTAAATGTGAACACCGTTTAATGGCATATCATACATTAAACATGACAGTATTTCATACAGTATATTAAACATTAAAGTATATCCATGCATCAACATGAGAGTATATCATACATGACAGGAAGATTCTGCGCTTTCATGTTCAGATTCATATAGGACGATAACAGAATGTACACTATGAATCACGTCTCACACACACGCCATGATCGGGCCTGTGTAACTGTGGCAAGGAGTGGCCAAATTGCCCTGAAAATGGGGGTCAATTCAACAGAGTGTGAGCTGGGTTGGGGAGGCAGTGGAGGCTGGGGAATAGGTGTTTAAAATCCCTCTGCCTTATTATGGGGTGAAGTGGGATGCTCTCTCTGCTCTCTCCATCCTGCCTGTCTCGCTACTACAGCTCTCTCTATGCTCATCTGCCTAAACTACATACACACAAACGTTAGCATACATACTCAGACAAACATACACACACTCATTCACACACACACTTTCGCCCACGCCAGCTCACATTACAGCTCAAGGATCCACAAAGTGACATAGTGAGAGAGAGAGAGACAGAGGTAGAGTGGAAGATGGAGAGGGGGAGATATGGGATCATATGGACAATTTGGGTGCACTCACTCTCGGCACTAATAACACTGTGAAGGGAGGTACACACTCAGCCCTAATACGACTCCTGAGAGTGGAGAGAGGTGCACATACACAGCTCTATGCAGGTTCTATGGCAAGCTTTTATCCGAAGGGGGTTGCAATATCTATATAAATTACGTGAAATGTGTGTGTGTATACATCAGTGTTCAACAGAGAGAGAGAGGGATAGAGAGTGTGTGTGAACAAGCATGTATGAGTTTGTTCAGATATAGAGGCAGTGTGTGTGTGTGCCCACAGACAGGCAGGCTTTATGTGGTCATTGTGAGAGGAGGCATGGCAGAGGTCCAGTCAGAGAGAGCAAAGCCCCATTCACACATCAGCCTCAGGCCTCATTAGACAGGCTTCATTACAGCACTAACCTGACACATACACAGGCGGGCGGGCAGGCAGGAGCGCACGCTCGCACGCACAGAGACACACACAGGCTCAGAGGGCGGGCTATTTGTTTAGCTGAGGATGAATTCCCTTTTCATGTGTTTGTGGGAAGCTTTATAGTTATTAAGAGATAGCCAGGGAGGTGTGTGTGTGTGTGTGTGTGTGTGTGTGTGTGTGTAGCTTTTCAGTCAGTAAGCGATAGACAGAGAGGTGGGGGGACTTTCATTAGTGCTGAACTGTCAGAGAGACTAGCCCCTACTGAGAGAGTGAAGCCAGCAGTCAGAGGCTTCGTCCCAAATGTCACCCTATTCCCTGCATAGTGCACAACTTTTGATCAGAGCCCTATGGGCCCTGGTCAACAGTAGTGCACTTCATAGAGAAAAGGGTACTATATGGAACGTAACCAGAGTCAGAACAAAGTAAAGCATACATACATACCAGACACACAGCCAGAGAATGTACAGTCCATGCCATAACTGACTAATCTAACTGCTACAGTACAGGGTTCAGCAGACGGACAGAAACAGCTTTAATTGGAAGATATCAGTGTTACAGTTGAAGTCGGAAGTTTACATACACTTAGGTTGGAGTCATTAAAACTCATTTTTCAACCACTCCACAAATTTCTTGTTAACAAACTATAGTTTTGGCAAGTCGGTTAGGAAATCTACTTTGTGCATTCACTTATAATTCACTGTATCACAATTCCAGTGGGTCAGAAGTTTACATACACTAAGTTGACTGTGCCTTTAAACAGATTGGAAAATTCCAGAAAATGATGTCATGGCTTTAGAAGCTTCTGATAGGCTAATTGACATAATTTGAGTCAATTGGAGGTGTACCTGTGGATGTATTTCAAGGCCTACCTTCAAACTCAGTGCCTCTTTGCTTGACATAATGGGAAAATCAAAAGAAATCAGCCAAGACCTCAGAAATAGAATTGTAGACCTCCACAAGTCTGGTTCATCCTTGGGAGCAATTTCCAAACACCTGAAGGTACCACGTTCATCTGTACAAACAATAGTACGCAAGTATAAACACCATGGGACCATGCAGCCGTCATACCGCTCAGGATGGAGACGTGTTCTGTCTCGTAGATATTAATGTACTTTGGTGCGAAAAGTGCAAATCAATCCCAGAACAACAGCAAAGGACCTTGTTAAGATTCTGGAGGAAACAGGTACAAAAGCATCTATATCCACAGTAAAACAAGTCATATATCGACATAACCTGAAAGGCCGCTCAACAAGGAAGAAGCCACTGCTCCAAAACCGCCATAAAAAAACCAGACTACGGTTTGCAACTGCACATGGGGACAAAGCTCGTACTTTTTGGAGAAATGTCCTCTGGTCTGATGAAACAAAAATAGAACTGTTTGGCCATAATGAACATTGTTATGTTTGGAGGAAAAAGGGGGTAAACTTGCAAGCTGAAGAACACCATCCCAACCGTGAAGCACGGGGGTGGCAGCATCATGCTGTGGGGGTGCTTTGCTGCAGGAGGGACTGGTGCACTTCACAAAATAGATGGCATCATGAGGAAGGAAAATTATGTGGATATATTGAAGCAACATCTCAAGACCTCAGTCAGGAAGTTAAAGCTTGGTCGCAAATGGGTCTTCCAAATGAACAACGACCCCAAGCATACTTCCAAAGTTGTGGCAAAATGGCTTAAGAACAACAAAGTCAAGGTATTGGAGTGGCCCTCACAAAGCCCTGACATTTTGCCACAACTTTGGAAGTATGCACCCCCACAGCATGATGCTGCCACCCCCGTGCTTCACGGTTGGGATGGTGTTCTTCGGCTTGCAAGTTTACCCCCTTTTTCCTCCAAACATAACAATGTTCATTAGAACATTTGTGGGCAGAACTGAAAAAGCGTGCGCAAGCAAGGAGGCCTACAAACCTGACTCAGTTAAACCAGCTCTGTCAGGAGGAATGGGACAAAATTCACCCAACTTATTGTTGGAAGGCTACCCGAAACGTTTGACCCAAGATAAACAATTTAAAGGCAATGCTACCAAATACTAATTGAGTGTATGTAAACTTCTGACCCACTGGGAATGTGATGAAAGAAATAAAAGCTTAAATAAATAATTATTTCTACTATTATCCTGACATTTCAAATTCTTAAAATAAAGTGGTGATCCTAACTGACCTAAAACAGGGCATTTTTACTAGGATTAAATGTCAGGAATTGTGAAAAACTGAGTTGAAATGTATTTGGCTAAGGTGTATGTAAACTTCCGACTTCAACTGTATGTTCAGAGAAGCAGGAGCATATGGCGTATCTCTACTGCAGACATATTTAGGGGAGACTACCTGCCTCTCACCCTGATTGCTGCAAAATATGTTTTGGCCAAATTACATGACAACCCACTATGGGTCTTCATAAGCACCTTCGTTCTACGTTCTAAAGAACATACCCTCAGAGAACCTCTTCCCAAAACGACAAATCACTGGAGACAGAAAAAGTGGTAAAAAAAAATCTGCATCATAACTCTGATATCTAACCTGAGTGTTTTTAAGCCTCCAATAGAGACATCCAGTAGCCGGCCAGTCTGCCGTGTGAATCCCTGCTAAATCCCCTGGTTTATGTGACTGTGTCATTTTCTCAGGGGCCTGCCTGCCTGCCTGTCGGCCTGTCGGTCTGTCTGCCTGTCTGTCTGTCCACAAGGGCTGGACAGTAACTCTCCTTCTCTCCTCGTCTCCTTTCCTCTCATTGGTCAAGTGTTTGCAGTGGTGGTAACCCCCAGAAACAGGCATGGCTAGCAAACAGAGCAGAGCCAGCTAGGAGGACACTTATCAGTGGTGACTTAGCACCTCGACGGGACTGTATCACGTCTGTCACACACACACACACACACACACACACACACACACACACACACACACACACACACACACACACAGTGTTGATTCTGCAGTGTTGACTCTTCCTGAGGGTATCAGTGCTGGCTCTGGCAGTGTAACTGACCAGCACACCCTGCTGGGGTAAGATCACATCCAGTCAGTCAGTGTGTGGTTTGATAAGGCTACAACTATTATATATTGATTACAACAGGTTCACTGTTTAATGGAGGTTCTGACTTCGGCTTATGTGAATAGGAGAGGAGATAAAGTATTGTACACTTAGTGTGAACTATGAACAATGTCTGTAAACAGTATGGTGCATGCCTGTGTGTTCATATGTATGTGTGCAGACTATCCACACATGTGCAGTATTTCTGTGTGTCTGAGCGTGTAATATGTGTGTGTATGCATTCGTGTGTTTGTGTGTGTGGGGTACCCGTGGGGTTCAGAGGTGTGTGTTAGATCAGCGCAGGCGGTGTGGGCCATGACAGCTCTCTCCCCTCTCCCAGGGGTTGAGTATAAACACAGGGCAGGCTTCCTCCAAGCTCCCTAGCCCTTTAGCCCTCTCCAGGGCCATGGTAGGCCTATAGAGGGCCGATGGATGGCCGGGGGAAGGTTTTAGCGCCACCGGCCTCATTAATCCTGTAGTGTTTTGAAGTGCAGGGCATTAGCCACTGCGGGCTAATGGTGTAGCGGTAAACATGGGCCCCCGGTGAGAGAGCAGCGTTCCGGGTTCACCACCACTGCCGTAAACATCATGGCTAGATAAAGTCACGCCTTCTTTCCGACAGCCAGCTGGGATAGCTCTGTGGGCCCAGGGTGTGTGTGTCTGTGTGTGTGGAGGAGTAGGAGGGTCTCAGAGCCCCGCCCTCTCTGTTGGTTTCTGTCAGTAGGCTACTTCAAACAGACCTCAGCACAGCAGAGAGACAGACGTCAAAAGGACAGGTGAACCTGGGATGGTCTAAAGTCTACACTCACTGTAGACAGAGGACATAAACCTGTCAGTCACACTCTCAAAAACACATAAGAAGGACAAGTTTTAGTATATTGACCAGGACTGTCTTTAAAAACAAAGTGACTAACCTGGACAATATGAGAAGCTTCTAACCAGTTCTTTAGAGATGTGTTGAGTGTACTTCACAAAGTGCGAGTACAAGAGTATAGTGTGGGGAGGGGGTACGAAGAGTGTCTGCAGTCCATGGGAGTGACCCCATCCAGGGCAGTGAGCGTCCATCACCCCAGAGACAGGCCTTTTAGTCTGGACCCCCTCACATAAACACAATCCCCTCATACAGAGAGAGCATGTAGAGGCCTTTAGGCCTACATTCACACATTCATACTCAACATGGGCTAGGAATGAAGTCAACAAAGGGTCTTTCAATGGACATCAGACATACAATTACCATTCCAAACTTCTTCACTAGATTCATGTGTTTTATTAAATCCTACTTTGAAGTTTCCAGTCTCATAACACACCATTCTCTCTCTTCCTCCTTGATCTTCCTCCATCACCCTTCACTGTCTTGGCCCCACAACATCTTGCCCATTCACAACTCTTTATATCTGTAGTCACAAAATAACGTCTTGGGAGTTTTAGTTCAGTGCTAATACACCGGACTCAATTAACAATCAAGGCCTTGATTAATCATTCTTTAACTCCTCCCCTCTCCCCTGCCCCTCACCTTCAACGCCCCTCTCCCCGAGGTCCTCGGCTGGCAGAGCAGCAGCTGAACAGGTATGCTCTAAGGAGGAACTGGTTCTACCCCCCCCCCCCCCCCCACTCTCACCTTCTACGGAGGTCCTCAGCAACGGCAGCACGGCAGCTGAACAGGTATGCTCTGAGGGACTGGAGCTGCTGTCTCAGGCGTAGTACTGCAGCCAGGCCTTCACAGTGTTCATACAGACACGGGTTCAGCTGCTGCACGTCCAGCAGGGGTTCCTCATACACAAACTCCAGGAACTCCTTGGCCTGCTTGGACACCTGGACAGGACAGGACACACACAGGGGAGGGATGGGAGGGCTGAGTGGTGGAGAACGCATAGGGATGTGGGGTTTTGACTGTGTATACATACAGTTGAAGTTGGAAGTTTACATACACCTTAGCCAAATACATTTAAACTCAGTTTTTCACAATTCCTGACATTTAATCCTAGTAAAAATTCGCTGTCTTAGGTCAGTTAGGATATCCACTTTATTTTAAGAATGTGAAATGTCAGAATAATAGTAGAGAGAATGATTTATTTCAGCTTTTATTTATTTCATTACATTCCCAGTGGGTCATAGGTTTACATACACTCAATTAGTATTTGGTAGCATTGCCTTTAAATTGTTTAACTTGGGTCAAACGTTTCGGGTAGCCTTCCACAAGCTTCCCAAAATAAGTTGGGTGAATTTTGGCCCATTCCTCCTGACAGAGCTGGTGTAACTGAGTCAGGTTTGTAGGCCTCCTTGCTCGCACACGCTTTTTCAGTTCTGCCCACAAATGTTCTATAGGATTGAGGTCAGGGCTTTGTGATGGCCACTCCAATACCTTGACTTTCTTGTCCTTAAGCCATTTTGCTACAACACTGTAAGTATGCTTGGGGTCATTGTCCATTTGGAAGACCCATTTGCGACCAAGCTTTAAGTTCTTGACTGATGTTTTGAGATGTTGCTTCAATATATCCACGTAATTTTCCTTCCTCATGATGCCATCTATTTTGTGAAGTGCACCAGTCCCTCCTGCAGCAAAGCACCCCCACAGCATGATGCTGCCACCCCCGTGCTTCAATGTTGGGATGGTGTTCTTCGGCTTGCAATCACCCCCCTTTTTCCTCCAAACATAACGATGGTCATTATGGCCAAACAGTTCTATTTTTGTTTCATCAGACCAGAGGACATTTCTCCAAAAGGTACAATCTTTGTCCCCAAACCGTAATCTGTCTTTTTTATGGCGGTTTTGGAGCAGTGGCTTCCTCCTTGCTGAGCGGCCTTTCAGGTTATGTCGATATAGGACTCGTTTTACTATGGATATAGATACTTTTGTACCTGTTTCCTCCAGCATCTTCACAAGGTCCTTTGCTGTTGTTCTGGGATTGATTTGCACTTTTCGCACCAAAGTACGTTAATCTCTAGGAGACAGAACGCGTCTCCTTCCTGAGCGGTATGACGGCTGTGTGGTCCCATGGTGTTTATACTTGCGTACTATTGCTTGTACAGATGAACGTGGTACCTTCAGGCATTTGGAATTTGCTCCCAAGTATGAACCAGACTTTTGGAGGTCTACAATGTTTTTTGAGGTCTTGGCTGATTTCTTTTGATTTTCCCATGATGTCAAGCAAAGAGGCACTGAGTTTGAAGGTAGGCCTTGAAATACATCAACAAGTACACCTCCAATTGACTCAAATGATGTCAATTAGCCTATCAGAAGCTTCTAAAGCCATGACATCATTTTCTGGAATTTTCCAAGCTGTTTAAAGGCACAGTGAACTTAGTGTATGTAAACTTTTGACCCACTGGAATTGTGATACAGTGAATTATAAGTGAAATAATCTGTCTGTAAACAATTGTTGGAAAAATTACTTGTGTCATGCACAAACTATAGTTTGTTAACAAGAAATGTGTGGAGTGGTTGAAAAACAAGTTTTAATGACTCCAACCTAAGTGTATGTAAACTTCCGACTTCAACTGTACATATGTGTATGTGTGTGTATGTGTATGGTTTTGGGTTGTGGCACCACGTGGGGTTGTTTGGAGGGAAAATGTAACCTGGCCATATTCTCCACCATATACTGTGCATGGGTCGACTTCCCAATTTAAGATAAGCATGTGTAACTAAGGAACGTTCACAAGTGTATTTTAGAGTGTTTCTGTATGTTTACTGTATCTGAATATGCTGGACATACTTCTGAAATGTGTGCATATATCACCATAGATTCTCACCTTGTGTCTGTTGGTGTCCCAGTTGTGCAGCAGGCGGGCAGGGATGAGGAACAGGTTGTCTTGGTGACAGCTCTGGCAGTAGTACCAGCCACTGTAGCAGCACACCTTGGCCTTGCCCCGCGACAACCCCACTGGCTTCTGACACCCTGCACAGAGATAGAGGGGAGATAGTGGGTAAGGGAGTGTGTGTGAGGGAGTGTCTGCGTGTGTGTCGGTGCGTGTGTCTACAGCTGAACTAAAGCACAAAATGCTCTCTGTATCTGGAGCTCAAAGGTGAGCAATAAAGTCCCTCATTTATTAAAAATGACCTGTTGGGTAAGGCACTAAAGACAGCTCATATTCAGGTCACAGAGAGATTGAAAATCCCATTTGCTATGGCTAATGATTAGAGAGGAGAGACCCAGTCAGTCTGGGCTCTTAAACACAGTGTTAATATGTATCAGTTTATGGCACCTCTTAATTGCCACACTAACCACGTCCAACCAAGCAAACAAACATCTATAACTATGAGAACCATCGAATTCCAGCAACATCCCCTGTTCAGTGAATTCCTCAAACCCAGTTGAGACTGAGGCAGAGATCAATAGGTTTCCCCACTCCTACCTGTAGTCACAACAAGAAGGGACTTCAATGCTCTGCTGTCTAATGAACACTAAAGAGAGAGATCCTAGGCTTCTAGAGGTTTAGTAGTGCTGCTATCCTCTGAAAACCCTCTGCTTTGTCTCGCTCTCTTTTATTGTTCCTGTCTGCATTCCCCCAAACACTCGGGGCCCTCGCCACGGGCGACGATCGGAACCCAAACAGGTGAACACGGCAATGGCAGGTATCTCTTATCCCCAGGACGATCTGGTAGGGCCGGGAGCGCCACGGAGGAAGAAAGGAATAAGGGAAGAGGGAGAAGGAAATGGAGGAAGGACCTCCGACGGATACAGACTTGCACGCTCTTGCTCTTTTTCGGTGGAGCGTGGTGCCGTCCTCTTTACTTCACAGAGACAAGAGAGGGGGAAGAGATCAGACATGGATAGAGAGAAAGAAAGAAAAGAGTCAGAGGAGAGGAAAAAGACAGAGAGTCTCCATAGCCGGACACTGACGGCGGCTATCAGAGCAGCAGATCAGGACCTAAGAGACTTAGAATGAACATAATACAAGTCTCTGATTTCTTCTGCTTTATCTGCTGAGGCTTTCTATGGGATGTTGTTGTTGAAGCTCTGTCAACACAGACCTGGAGGAACTGATAGACTGGCGCTAGTGCTCTAGTGGATACAGAGAGAAACCAAAGGGTAATGCGTGCCAAATAAAAATATATCAGGCTGGCTCAAGCCTATTCCTGGACCGACATTAGGCCTAGCACTTTTTTGGGGGTGTATTTTCCCCCTTTTTCTCCCCAATTTCGATCTTATCTCATCGCTGCAACTCCCCAACAGGCTCGGGAGAGGCAAAGGTCGAGTCATGCGTCCTCCGAAACATGACCCGCCAAACCGCGCTTCTTAACACCCGCCCGCTTAACCCGGAAGCCAGCTGCACCAAAGTGTCGGAGGAAACATAATTCAACAGGCCTGCCACAAGGAGTCGCTAGAGCGCGATGAGCCCCGGTCAAACCCTCCCCTAACCCGGACGACGCTGGGCCAATTGTGCACCGCCCTATCTGACTCCCGGTTGTGACACAGCCTGGGTCTGTAGTGACGCCTCAAGCACTGCGATGCAGTGCCTTAGACCGCTGCGCCACTCGGGAGGCCCCAGGCCTAGCACTTTTAACGGAGATTCTTCAATGAGCATTCTTTTTAGTTCAGGCGTAAGATGAATTTGGGAGTAATTGGTTTAACATTCACCACTGTGTACATAAGGGACATCAATGTAAAAACCTTACAGATTGCAAAGATTACATTAACCCAATAACCTCTCTAGCCAACATCTTAATTACAAACTCTGGGGACAAACTTTGAGGCCCATTAGTTTCTAGTATGATTCAGTCAGAGTGAAAGCTGGTGGAGAACACAACCCAAAGCAATAGAAGAGGCTCCATTATAAATTAGTCAGATAAATGACTAAGCAGGGACCGATGTGCTGTGCCCCTGTTTCTCTTGGAGAGAGAGACCATCTCCTCCTTATGCCTTCCTAAACCCAAAGCAATATGGCATAAACACTCTGGCTGAGGTTAGGCGCTAGCCACGCATCATTCAGCCGCCATCAGGCACACTGGAGCTAATGTCAACTTGAGGTTTTTGGGGCAGGGACCCCAAGCTATAAAAAGAGAGTTGGTGTCTTCCCCCCTCAACTCTAGTCCCCTCTTTACCATCCAACCCTGAGCTTACACACACACACACATGCTCTGGTCCTGGAGGCTGCAGTGCGGCGTGTACCACAGACCACGCGGCGGGGTGTTGTGTGTCGGGGCTGCCCTGTAATCAGTGTAGGAGCGCAGCACAAACCCACACTAACCACTCCGCTCCATAAATACATACACACATCCCATCCACTCCCCCAGAAAACAAACCAGCCTGCTGCTGCTCTGATGCCCATCAACTCAACTCACTAGGGCTGGATTTAGCCATTGGGGTTTTCTGAAAAGGGTTCCTCCAAGTGTCCTCGGAAATTATTGACAGCATTCACTAACATTGTCGTTTACACAACTACACCTTGGCTTCTGTATAGGCTAGAATCTATGAACTAGGATCCAGCATGTCTAAATCTGGACGGTAACTTGTTGTGTTGGATGGTGCCTTGGCGATGCAGATCCTATACTAATGATGTGGATGATGTGGCTTATTTTAGTGAGTGTGTGATGGATGCTAAGGCCTCCATGGACAACGTCCAGCAGAGAGGAGAGGATGGTCAGTGCCAGCGGCCAAATGCTCTGTAACTGCTGGGAAGGAGCTGGCCACTAGCGAACCACAGCCGGCCCGGCCGCTGGGTCTGCTGTCACTGTCAGTAAAAAAAGAAAAAAGAAAAACTCACACAAAAAAAACAATCATAAAACGCATATCGATCTACATTTTAACATTTGACATTTTAGTCATATAGCAGATGCGCTTATCCAGAGCGACTTCCGTACTGGTCTCCGATGGGAATCGAACCAACAACCCTGGTGTTGCAAGCGCCATGCTCTACCAACTGAGCTACATCCCTGCCGGCCATTCCCTGCCCTACCCTGGACGACGCTGGGCCAATTGTGCGCCGCCCCATGGGTCTCCCGGTCGCGGCCGGCTACGACAGAGCCTGGATTCGAACCAGGATCTCTAGTGGCACAGCTATCACTGCAATGCAGTGCCTTAGACCACTGCGCCACTCGGGATGCCATACTTCATGGCTATGTCCTCCCCAAAGCCACAGCTCACTAACACAGCTAGGCACATTCTAGTAGACTTCTAGGGTAGAGGGCAGAGGGACAGAGCAGTGGTGCTCATGGGAACAACATGCCCTCTAGGATAGCCTATGCACACCAGTGTGGGAAAGAAGAGGAATAAAACCATGGACCCACCATCTCATGCTCCCACTTGAGAGGCCACCGTAGGGATTCCCCAAAACCTCCAGTGTCGCCTCAAAATGGCTGACACTGAGGGGAGGAGAGGTGATGGGAGGAGATGGAACGAGAGAGAATTCCACTGTTGTAATACTGAGGCACCCCAGGTCTACCTGCTGCTATGATGAAGCTGTAGCCCCTCAGGTCCCAGTCCCACAGCTAGAGAGGGTCATTCTGTTCTGTCGTCCCCAGAGAGGGGCTCCTACTCAGCCACGCTTTCAACTGTCCGACGGTTTACACCACCGCACTGCTGAGGGGACATTGACCAGTGTGTGTCTGTGTGTGTGTGTGTCTGCATGCACAGGGGGCAAAGACAAGAGGCCTCTGCTTTGATGTATCTCATTCAGGCAGACGAACACTTGTGTGTGAGGGAGAGTGAGAGTGCTTGTGTGTGTGGGAAGGGTGGGGGATGCGCTGCCCATCTTTTGATGTGAACGCCCACCTCTTCCCCTAACACCCCCTTCCACATACAGATTCCCACCCAACCCCAAAGCCTCTCTCCTTTCCCAACCTCTCCCTGGTTGTCCCTCTGCATACTGCAGTCCTCCTTGTCCCTACAAAGCCCTCTCCTCTGAGGACCCTGTGAATCCACACAGGCTAAATGACCGGGGTCAAGCAAACTTTGAGAGGAACCTGGGGGTACATTCAGCCCCCTATAGAGGGGTAGAGGTGGTGTTGGGGGGTAATCAGGCTTCAAACGAACATCGGCAACAAAAAAACAACCCTGTGTTTCCCCATGTGCAATTAGCTGAATAAATATTGCTTATTAAATGCTGTTTCAGTATGGGTTTGATGTGAACAATCACTTGCCACATATGCATGTGGCGCAATTCTTATGAAATAATATGACAAAGACAACACGTGGGTGGAGGGGCACTGGCCTTTCATGGTAGGGTCCTGGCCTGCATGACTGGTAAGCAAAAGTAACTGCCCAGTGATTCCAGATTTCTATTAAATATTACCTAGAATTACTAACAATGAGTGAAATAGTACAGTGGGGAAAAAAAGTATTTAGTCAGCCACCAATTGTACAAGTTTTCCCACTTAAAAAGATGAGAGAGGCCTGTAATTTTCATCATAGGTACACGTCAACTATGACAGACAAATTGAGGAAAAAAATCCCAAAAATCACATTGAATGATTTTTTATGAATTTATTTGTAAATTATGGTGGAAAATAAGTATTTGGTCACCTACAAACAAGCAAGATTTCTGGCTCTCACAGACCTGTAACTTCTTCTTTAAGAGGCTCCTCTGTCCTCCACTCGTTACCTGTATTAATGGCACCTGTTTGAACTTGTTATCAGTATAAAAGACACCTGTCCACAACCTCAAACAGTCACACTCCAAACTCCACTATGGCCAAGACCAAAGAGCTGTCAAAGGACACCAGAAACAGAATTGTAGACCTGCACCAGGCTGGGAAGACTGAATCTGCAATAGGTAAGCAGCTTGGTTTGAAGAAATCTACTGTGGGAGCAATTATTAGGAAATGGAAGACATACAAGACCACTGATAATCTCCCTCGATCTGGGGCTCCACGCAAGATCTCACCCCGTGGGGTCAAAATGATCACAAGAACGGTGAGCAAAAATCCAAGAACCACACGGGGGGACCTAGTGAATAACCTGCAGAGAGCTGGGACCAAAGTAACAAAGCCTACCATCAGTAACACACTACGCCGCCAGGGACTCAAATCCTGCAGTGCCAGACGTGTCCCCCTGCTTAAGCCAGTACATGTCCAGGCCCGTCTGAAGTTTGCTAGAGTGCATTTGGATGATCCAGAAGAGGATTGGGAGAATGTCATATGGTCAGATGAAACCAAAATATAACTTGTTGGTAAAAACTCAACTCGTCGTGTTTGGAGGACAAAGAATGCTGAGTTGCATCCAAAGAACACCATACCTACTGTGAAGCATGGGGGTGGAAACATTATGCTTTGGGGCTGTTTTTCTGCAAAGGGACCAGGACGACTGATCTATGTAAAGGAAAGAATGAATGGGGCCATGTATCGTGAGATTTTGAGTGAAAACCTCCTTCCATCAGCAAGGGCATTGAAGATGAAACGTGGCTGGGTCTTTCAGCATGACAATGATCCCAAACACACCGCCCGGGCAACGAAGGAGTGGCTTCGTAAGAAGCATTTCAAGGTCCTGGAGTGGCCTAGCCAGTCTCCAGATCTCAACCCCATAGAAAATCTTTGGAGGGAGTTGAAAGTCCGTGTTGCCCAGCGACAGCCCCAAAACATCACTGCTCTAGAGGAGATCTGCATGGAGGAATGGGCCAAAATACCAGCAACAGTGTGTGAAAACCTTGTGAAGACTTACTGAAAACGTTTGACCTGTGTCATTGCCAACAAAGGGTATATAACAAAGTATTGAGAAACTTTTGTTATTGACCAAATACTTACTTTCCACCATAATTTGCAAATAAATTCATTACAAATCCTACAATGTGATTTTCTGGATTTTTTTTCTAATTTTGTCTGTCATAGTTGACGTGTACGTATGATGAAAATTACAGGCCTCTCTCATCTTTTTAAGTGGGAGAACTTGCACAATTGGTGGCTGACTAAATACTTTTTTCCCCCACTGTATTTAAAAAAAATGGTAATCAAGTATGTTAAAAATCTGCTTTTCTGTGTTGGACTGGTGTTCATGCAAGTAGACCGCTGATTGGCCAGCTCATTGTCCTCTAGACCGCTGATTGGCCAGCTCCTCCTCCTCAGGGAAATGACAACATGGTCTATGAGGAAATAGTAAGTATTTTTTTTAAATGGTCACAAATAGGAGTATAGGACGAGTCAACAACATTATTTGGGAATGAGTAAACAGAATATGAACTTTTAAAAGTGAGATGTTCACTGGACAGATACTTTAAGCCTGCCTTGTACCAAAAAGATCAAGGTCCTAGAGTGGGGTCAAATACTTATTTCCCTCATTAAAATGCAAATCAATTTATAACATTTCTGACATGCGTTTTTCTGGATTTTTTTGTTGTTATTCTGTCTCTCACTGTTCAAATAAACCTACCATTAAAATTATAGACTGATCATTTCTCTGTCAGTGGGCAAACGTACAAAATCAGCAGGGGATCAAATACTTTTTTCCCTCACTGTAGGTCTTCAGTTCAATATTCATCAAGAACTGATTAAAAATGTGTGTGTTTAGCCATGCCCAGAAATGTTTTTGAAATTTTGTTTCTGGTTGATGTGAGTACAGATGTAAGATCTTAATTTGACCCATTTCTCACAGCAGGAACATAATGTGAAAATGTAAATTATTGTGTGGATTATAATGAACAGATATTTTTGTAGGGGTTGATATATTTTTAGTTAAGGCAAATGAAGTCTAACATTTTAATGTGGAAATTACAAACTCTAGAAGCTTTTTTAAACCTAGAATACACTACAAGTTTCCTGCAATAACAGGGTGATGAAATTAAGACCCTTCATCTGAAGCTTTAAGACGCCATGCCAAAAGTCCTCATTACAGGCCGCTGTTCTAACAAGGATATTTTGACTTCGCTCTCCAGTCAAAAGAATAGCCGAGAAAGAAATGGTACAGCACATGAGATTTGAGTCAGCTTCTCCTCCCCAATCTGTCCTTAATGCCATGTACTCACAGCCAGAAGAGGACTGGCCACCCCTCAGAGCCTGGTTCCTCTCTAGGTTTCTTCCTAGGTTGCTGCCTTTCTAGGGAGTTTTTCCTGGCCACCGTGCTTCTTCATCTGCATTGCTTGCTGTTTGGGGTTTTAGGCTGTGTTTCTGTATAGCACTTTGTGACATCTGCTTATGTAAAAAGGGCTTTCTAAATACATTTGATTGATTTGGCTAGCACATGGAAGGACAGGGCAAGGCAGTGGGAATGAAGGCAGGGAGATTCAACTCAAGGATTGTTTTTGGTTGTTTTGTAGCATTTTTTTTGGTCTATTGTGCTCTGGCCTCTTTACACATTCCTAGGCCACTAAGTTGCTGAGGCCTGATGGGTAATTAGTAGACACCAGAGCCCAGTTGAAAAGAGGGTGCACATGCTCCCTCAACCTTCCCCCCAGAGCCCCTCCCCCCCAGAATCACACACACAGGCACAGGATGAGGCGGGGCCAATCCACCATCCATCATCTATCCTTTATGTGGGCTAACAAATTGGGGCCAGAGGGTGTCGGCCGGTGGGGCAATGGGGGACAGAAGAGGCACAGGGTGCTCAATCACAGCCCCCAAATAGACAGAGGGGCAAACGCTACAGTAATGGGGACCCCTGAACCCCCCCCCCCCCCTACACTCCCTGGACATTGTGCTCTCTATCAGACCCCACAATGGTAACTTTCCCACTCTCCTCTCTTTCTCCCACTTTCCCTCTATTTGCCTGTTGTCCTCACCCCTCCTCACCGCACGTCCCCTAATCCCCCTAACAGAGGCCAGGGATATTTGTTTAGGGAAAAGCCATTAAACTGTAATACAACAGGCTGGCTCCTGACTCTCCATCCAAAGCTAAGTGACTGACAAGAACAAGCAGTCAAAAGGAAACTGGCACTCTACCAAGGAGCCAGGCAAGGGGATTGGGGAGGGCGGGAAGAGATAGAGACAGGAAAAAGAGAGAGAGCGAGAGAGGGAGATAGAGGGGGGACAGAGGGTGAGAATGAGCCAGAGAGAAAGAGAGAGGGAAAGAGTAGAGTTCAGTGAACACAGTGACAGCATGAGAGACTGCGTGAGTCTGAATGAACGAGAAAGAGAGAAAGGAGAAATAGGGAGAGAAAGAGAGCGCATAATAAAAGGGTTTTGTGAACAGAGCATGGAACAAGCTGTATCCAGCTGTTATTCTTTGCTTGTCTCTCATTCAAACAGGTCTGCAGCCAGAGCGAAAAGAGCCCCTGTATCAAACAATTAGCTTCCGCATTGACGATAGCATCCCGGCTTCCTGGGCGCCTGTCTTTGATTATAAAAAATGAATTCTTTCCTCCGCTTTATGCCGGCCAATTATCGTCAGGTGCCCGCTCCCCTTGTTCAGTGGGCCTTTCAGATGGCATGCATTAATAGAGCACTGGTTACAGAAGAGGAGGAAAGCACCTCATTCATCCCCTTTTAGTGAGCACTGATTTCACACCCAGAAAGACCAAACACAGAGCCGCCATAGCACCATTTACTGAGCTGTCAGACAGAAGAGAGGGCTATCTGGTAGTGAGATATCAGTTAGGGTACACTGAGGCTGAGGGAATGAAACTGATATAGTGGTGGAGACATCTCTAGGGGGAATTATGAACTGTAGCTACCTCTCTATAACTCCTACAAACATACAGGTCATAAGCCTAGTAAATACAAAAAAAAGCTGCTACAGTTAGTCAGTCAGCCAGCCAGCCAGCCAGCCAGTGTGTGTGTGTGAGAAAGGTGGTTATTTGGGGAGGGGGGTCTGTGACCCCCAGTGGTGTAACAGGTGACTGGTCTAAGCTCAAAGGACTGGTGGTGGTGGGTGAGATCCCCAGACACCTTGATCCCCAGCCGTCTCCCAGCCGCCCTTTTGAAGCCAACCACAACAAAGCTGCCTTGCCAACAAAGGCAACGCCACCGCACAGGACTCTGGGTAATGCCATGTTGTCATGCAGTGGAAAATAAAGAGAAACAAAATAGGGGTGTGTGTTTGTTTGGGTTGAGGTGAGGTGAACTCATAAAATTACAGACCCCCAAAAATCTGATGGTCTACCAAGTGTTCCATTGGAGGGTTGCTGTTTGTCTGTCTGTTTGTGTTTGTTTAGTTTGAGGGAAAGGGGCAGTGACTGGATATATTGATACACCATCCAAAGTGTAATTAATAACTTCATCATGCTCAAAGGGATATTCAATGTCTGCTTTTCTTTTTTTTACCCATCTACCAATAGGTGCCCTTCTTTACAAGGCATTGGAAAAACTCCCTGGTCTTTGTGGTTGAATCTGTGTTTGAAATCCACTTCTCAACTGAGGGACCTTACAGATAATTGTATGTGTGGGGGACAGAGATGAGGTAGTAATAAAAAAAGAATGTTAAACACTATTATTGCACACAGAGTGAGTCCATGGAACTTATTATGTGACTTGTTAAGCACATTTTTACTTCTGAACTTATTTAGGCTTGCCAAAACAAAGGGGTTGAATACTTACTGACTCAAGACATTTCAGCATTTTTTTATGAATTTGTAAAAATTCGAAAATCATAATTCCACTTTGACATTACGGGGTATTGTGTGTAGGCCAGTGACTAAAAACCAACAAAATGTGGAAAAAGTCAAGGTGTGTGAATACTTTCTGAAGGCACTGTAGATTGGAATGAGAGATACAAGGCCTACAGTGAGGGAATTAGGTATTTGATCCCCTGCTGATTTTGTACGTTTGCCCACTGACAAAGACATGATCAGTCTATAATTTTAATGGTAGGTTTATTTGAACAGTGAGAGACAGAATAACAACAAAAAAATCCTGAAAAACGCATGTCAAAAATGTTATAAATTGATTTGCAATTTAATGAGGGAAATAAGTATTTGACCCCTCTGCAAAACATGACTTAGTACTTGGTGGCAAAACCCTTGTTGGCAATCACAGAGGTCAGACGTTTCATGTAGTTGGCCACCAGGTTTACACACATCTCAGGAGGGATTTTGTCCCACTCCTCTTTGCAGATGTTCTCCAAGTCATTAAGGTTTCGAAGCTGACGTTTGGCAACTCGAACCTTCAGCTCCCTCCACAGATTTTCTATGGGATTAAGGTCTGGAGACTGGCTAGGCCACTCCAGGACCTTAATGTGCTTCTTCTTGAGCCACTCCTTTGTTGCCTTGGCCGTGTGTTTTGGGTCATTGTCATGCTGGAATATCCATCCACGACCCATTTTCAATGCCCTGGCGGAGGGAAGGAGGTTCTCACCCAAGATTTGACGGGACATGGCCCCGTCCATCGTCCCTTTGATGCAGTGAAGTTGTCCTGTCCCCTTAGCAGAAAAACACCCCCAAATTATAAAGTTTCCACCTCCATGTTTGACGGTGGGGATGGTGTTCTTGGGGTCATAGGCAGCATTCCTCCTCCTCCAAACATGGCGAGTTGAGTTGATGCCAAAGAGCTCGATTTTGGTCTCATCTGACCACAACACTTTCACCCAGATCTCCTCTGAATCATTCAGATGTTCATTGGCAAACTTCAGACGGGCCTGTGTATGTGCTTTCTTGAGCAGGGGGACCTTGCGGGCGCTGCAGGATTTCAGTCCTTCACTGCGTAGTGTGTTACCAATTGTTTTCTTGGTGACTATGGTCCCAGCTGCCTTGAGATCATTGACAAGATCCTCCCGTGTAGTTCTGGGCTGATTCCTCACCGTTCTCATGATCATTGCAACTCCACGAGGTGAGATCTTGCATGGAGCCCCAGGCAGAGGGAGATTGACAGTTATTTTGTGCTTCTTCCATTTGCGAATAATCACACCAACTGTTGTCACCTTCTGACCAAGCTGCTTGGCGATGGTCTTGTAGCCCATTCCAGCCTTGTGTAGGCCTACAATCTTGTCCCTGACATCCTTGGAGAGCTCTTTGGTCTTGGCCATGGTGGAGAGTTTGGAATCTGATTGATTGATTGCTTCTGTGGACAGGTGTCTTTTATACAGGTAACAAACTGAGATTAGGAGCACTCCCTTTAAGAGTGTGCTCATAATCTCAGCTCGTTACCTGTATAAAAGACACCTGGGAGCCAGAAATCTTTCTGATTGAGAGGGGGTCAAATACTTATTTCCCTCATTAAAATGCAAATCAATTTATAACATTTTTGACATGCGTTTTTCTGGATTTTGTTGTTGTTATTCTGTCTCTCACTGTTCAAATAAACCTACCATTAAAATTATAGACTGATCATGTCTTTGTCAGTGGGAAAACGTACAAAATCAGCAGGGGATCAAATACTTAATTCCTTCACTGTATATTGCACCATCTGACAGTCATTAGCTAGATACCGTCACGGAAGTATGCACCCAGTTGACAAGTAGACGTCTTGAACACACTCATTAACACATTGAGATTGTGTAATGTATGCAAACCTCAGGACATGTTTGCAGAGCACTACTAACCTATGCTGTCTCTTTCAGTAGTAATATTAATAGATGTTTTACTAATGACAGTGGTTACTTCTTGAGTCAATACAAAGCCACGGTTTTGATGGATTATGTTGTAAAAATCTTTCCATAAAGAGTAGAGATATGACATGATATTTTTGGAACTTTAGTGAAGAATGTGTCACTTTAGTGTGTGTGTAGTAATACTTTTCTGTGTGCTTATATTTTACATGTGTGCAAGTGTGTATTAACATGCAGGTGTGAATTGGAAACGTGTTTTTAGCATTCCCAACTCCCCCTGAGACACCCTCAGAGAGTGGGGTCATGGCCAGGGTCGGCCATTATCAATGGCGACCCTTGAGCAATTAGGGGTAAGTGCCTTGCTCAAGGCACTTAACCCAGACTGACTGTGTGTGTGTGTGTGTGTGTGTGTGTCTGTATGTGTATGTGTGTGTGTGTGTGTGTGTGTGTGTGTGTGTGTGTGTGTGTGTGTGTGTGTGTGTGTGTGTGGTAACAGGTGGAGGTCTCTACCTGCACACCTGAAGCTCTGGGTGGTCAGGCCCTTCTCCACAGCCAGGCAGGTGAGGATACTGAGGAAGCTGGTGGTGACTGACTGTCTCTTGGCCCTCTGGGCGTCCCTCTGCCTCCTCTCCCTGGAGGGCTTCGTCCTCAGCAGCACCCCCGTCCCCATCGACACTGCACCCGGCTGGGCCTGGCTGGAGCCCTGACCCTCCTCCCCCTGGGGCCTCTGGGCCCCCACGGCTGTACGTAGGGCCTCCACCCAGTCATGGGCCTTGAGTTGGCTCTCAGCCCGTAGACGGAGGACCTCTCTGGGGAAGACTGCCTGGAAATGGGCGGAGCTGGCCCCTTCGGCCTCGTCCCTCTGCACGACCAGGCAGGAGGCCAGCGGGTAGCGGAGGACAGGCTCTGACACGGGCCCCCGGCCCTCGGTTGGGAAGGCCTGCAGCGTGGAACGACTCAGCACGAAGGTGAAGGCCCTCCAGTTGTTGAGGTCAGTCCGCTGGTGGAGCAGACCCGCCTTGAGGACATCAGCACAGCGCTTGGTGAACAGGGGCAGGGCCGTGGGCCGGGCTGGGGGGAGATGCGAGGTACGAGGGGCCGGGGCAGCCTCAGCAGGACCACTTGGGTCTGGTCTGGTGTCGAGACCTCCAGAGGAGATGGATGATGACGGGGATAAGGCTGGAGGCGGCTCTGCTTGTTTGTGGGCGGGCCGGGCAGCCAATACTCTCTCCCAGATCAGCCTCCTCCAGTCTAGCGCCTCCCACTGGCAGGCGGCACGTAACTGCAGGCGGGTGGAGCTGTTGAAGATGAGGTCAGTGAGTGGTCTATTAAAACATATTGCTATGAGAGAAAGAACTTCAATTGCAACTTATATTCAAGTGGGTGCAGGCCCTTTTTTCATGTTTATGTGATTGACTGTTGGCTCCAACAATATTTGATTTATTTTATTTAACCTTTATTTATCCAGGAAGTTCCGTTGAGGTCAGAAAACCTATTTTAGGAAGGAGACCTGGCAATAGGTCTCCTAAGAGTTGAGCACCATGGTTCTCTACCTTTACCTGTTGAAGAAGAGGGCCTGGAGGACTCGTCCGTCATGGGGTGGCTGGGGCTGGCTGACCCCCTGGCAGTGGGACAGGGAGTAGGCGGTGCAGAGCTGGCGGTTACCACTGCTGTCCAGGCTGTAGAGACGCAACTCACAGGGGGTCAGCTCTAGGTGGCAGATGCTCCAACGACCCTTCTGACCCTCACGATGCTCCAGGGAGCCCTGCTTCACCACACTGCCGCTGCTGCTGTCCTTATGGGCTGGAACAAACACAACATATATTCAGCAACAGGATCATCTGCAGAAAACACCATTTGATATACGGCTGGAAAAAGTACCCAATTGTCATACTTCAGTAAAAGTAAAGATACCTTAATTGAAAATGACTAAAGTAAAAGCAAAAGTCACCCAGTAAAATACTACTTGAGTAAAAGTCTAAAAGTATTTGTTTTTAAATATACTTAAGTATCAAAAGTAAAAGTAGAAATCATTTCAAATTCCTTATATTAAGCAAACCAGACGGCACCATTTTACGGATAGCCAGACATCTTTACAAACTAAGCATTTGTATTTAGTGAGTCCGCCAGATCAGAGGCAGTAGGGATGACCAGGTATGTTCTCTTGATAAGTGTGTGAATTACATTTTTTCTGTCCTGCTAAGCATTCAAAATGTAACGACTACTTTTGCGTTTCAAGCTAAATGTATGGATTAAAAAAAGTACATTATTATCTTTAAGAATGTAATGAAGTAAAAGTAAAAGTTGCCAAAAATATAAATAGTAAAGTAAAGTACAGATACCCCAAAAAACGACTTAAGTAGTACTTTAAATAATTTTTACGCCACTGCTAAACACATAGGCTAGAACTACATTTATTAGGCCTTACTTGTTATATTGAACAACATGTTCAATATAACAAGTAAGGCCAAATAAATGTAGCCTACTAATAAATATAGCCTACTGGAAGAGGTTACAAGTAGAAGCTAACTGCCTTAGAAAGATTCAGAGGGCAGACAAAAGAACAGCGATTATCTGATTGTAAATGGACGAGGGGGAGTGGGGGCGGGGCAGGCCCTTCCAATGGGCTACGCTGCCAGCCACCTATGCTATTACCACTTACAGAATGTCTCTGCAACAATTTCATCGTATTATCTGCTCATTTGATCAATAACACTGGCCTCCATTCAACAGTCAGCCCTCAGCAGTGTGCTCTTGGCTAATACACTGCATAGTACATTAATTCTCCCGTCATTAAAGACACATCTTCAAACCGTAGTCTAGAATTCTCAACGTATTATCAACGTATTATCAACGTATGCAACACATTACTAAGAGCAGGGGCAAGCTTCTAACTGTCTAGCCTATTCTGGGTCAGCTTGCTTAGCCAGCGTTTTCACTAAATGAATTAGGCTACTATGCAACTCCCACCATTTGAGGGCCACAAATCTGATAGCTTTTGACACGTTATTTATCGGAGCCAAACACAGATGTTCAGGTCTGAACGTGAGCGATGATATTTTGGTTTGTGATAGCAGCTAGCACGGTTAGCTTTGAAAGTGCTTCCTGTGAGGCCAGCAGGAAGAAACAGCATTGTTACCCAGAACGCTGTGCAAACACAGAGAACCAGGAGAAACTCACTTATCTGGGGCACACCCTCTCTCTGCCCTTCCTCCCTTCATCCGTTTCTTTCACACACTCCTTTCTTTATCTCTTTTCCTTTCCATTCCTCCTTTTTGCATCTCATCTCTCAGCTTCCTGTTCAGTGGTTATGGTGGATTTTGACTTGTGCTGTGGCTGCACGTATGGTGTAGACGGGCAGATGTGTCTCCACCTACCAGTGGCCCAGGAGCATTGCTGAAGTCAAATAGCATGGCACGCAAATAGAATTGTCTGTGAGACATATAGGAGCCACTTTACTTATCTGTAGTGCTCCAGCATACACTCGTTGTCATTGGAGCACAACTCTGGTCCTTGAGGGCCTCAACATATACTTGTTTTTGTCCTTATCCTTATCAGAAATGTAGTTATACCAGGGTTAACAGGTGGGTGTAATCATTGACCAATCAATGATAATAACTGATAATCAACTGACCAACAAATGTAAAATATGACTGGAGTTCAGTTCAATGTATCTTCTACTATACTGTTATGTAGCCTACCTGCTGTTTCACTCCCCTTTAAAAACACAACAGGCTCAATAGGCTCTGACCCAACCTACTCCCTGTTCTCCTCTGTCAATCGAGGGTGGCCAAAGGCGGCTGTGGGTCTGTAGGCTAATTTGTCTAAGTTTGTCAGACGGATAGGAGCAGATGCCAGGAGCCCGGGACAGACGACCAGGCCGGTGGGCCGCTGTGCTTTGGCCTTCGGGAGCCCCTCAGGCAAGGGTGGGGGGTGCTAGGGGGCTCGCCTGTCCCCCTGGGCTTCAAAGGCTCCTGTGAGCACGTGGGTGCGGTGTAGGTCACTGTTCATTTCACGCTACAAAGGAGGCGAGGCGCACGGACATGACTCAATTAGTAGAGTCACAGTTGGTGCTTTGCTTTGCTGGCCTTGGTCAACCAGCAGCATCCTAGCCCTACACGGCCCTACACCTCCACTGGATTTAACTGGCTGTCCTGGCCCTGCATGGCCGTTAGTGCCACCTGATGCGATAGCGTTGCTGAAACATCACAGGGACTTAACATTAACGTGATGTGAATGGTCTGGCCCAGAGGCAGGTGAGGAGAGGACATCTTGTTATGAACTCATTGTTGGTGTCTGAGCCATCAGTTCATATTATACTCAACTCAAAACTGTGTGTTTTAGCTGTGCCTTGTCCCCTAGTGATAGTCTAATAGATTCACTAGATGAACTAGCCTAATAAGATGGGGAAATGCTTCTAAAAACTAGGCTAAATGTGGTTAAAATGGGCAATGGTCCCTTTCCTTCCTTCTTTCTTAACTACTGAGGTAAATGAAGGTGGTGGTGGGGTGTCCCATCCATCTTACTGCACAAAAACACTGACAGACAAGGTGTCACTTTGAGTCTTGCACTTGCATGCTAAAATACTCTTTAGGGACTAATAAATATGTAAATGCAGCCAGGATCCTGATTGAGATTCAGCCTCCGATCGGCAGTCGCCACGCTCGGGGAGTGTGAAGCAGAATTAAGAGGTGGGACACACACACACACACACGCTGTTCAAATACTACACCACCACTTGTGTGTCATGACATTATGCTCCGGTAACGCTGTGAGACCTAAACAAGCTAACGTTACGCCACGCAGCCTTGGGCCCCAACAGCCTGAAATCAAAATTGACATTCTGTTAAACCGCCAACACATAGCTAACGCTTGCCTCGGTCCTGCAGCTAAAACGCTGAAATAGGATATCAGTCCACCCAGAGCTGTAATCACACTAAAGCAGCTGCCTTAAGGCTTACACGGCGACGTGACAATAAACACTGTACATGGGCTAGGGTGTAATTTGGGGGGAGGGTTGTACCAGGAATAGGGAGTACCGGTTAGGCTGCCAAAGTCCAGACAGAATTGCTAGAGCAGTCACTCTTACTGTAATGACTGACTGCCACACCCAGACAGACCAAGGACAGCCAATCATAACAGAACAAGTGCCATTTTATAACTTTGGACTTTAGAGACAAGATGTTGTACCAATGGACCCCCTGGTGATTCCTGGACATCATGACAGGACAGACAGACTCAAAGAGAACAGACAGGAATAATGTTTTTCCAGTAAGGAAAACATCCAAAACATAGAGATACATACAGTGCTATGAAAAAGTATTTGCCCCCTTTCTAATTTTCTCTACTTTTGCATATTTGTGATACTGTATGTTATCAGATCTTCAACCAAAACCTAATATTAGATAAAGGAAACATAAGTGAACAAATAACCCAATAATTACATATTTATTTCATTTATTTCATAAACAAAGTTATGAAACACCCAATTCCCCTGTGTGAAGAAGTAATTGCCCCCTTACACTCAATAACTGGTTGTGCCACCTTTAGCTGCAATGACTCCAAGCAAATGATTCCTGTAGTTGTTGATCAGTCTCTCACGTCGCTGTGGAGGAATTTTGGCCCACTCTTCCATGCAGAACTGCTTTAACTCAGTGATGTGTGGGTTTTCAAGCATGAACTGCTCGTTTCAAGTCCTGCCACAACATTGTGGTCCTCTGTAGCTCAATTGGTAGAGCATGGCACTTGTAACGTGCGCTTCAGCTTCAGCTCACAGACGGATGGTCTGACATTCTCCTGTAGAATTCTCTGATACAGAGCAGAATTCATGGTTCCTTCTATTAAGGCAAGTCGTCCAGGTCCTGAGGCAGCAAAGCATCCCCAAACCATCACACCACCACCACCATGCTTGACCTTTGGTATGATGTTCTTACTGTGGAATGCAGAGTTTGGTTTTTGCCAGGCATTACTGGAGCCATGTCGTCCAAAAAGTTATACTTTTGAATCATCTGTCCATAGAACGTTCTTCCAAGAGTCTTGATGATCATCCAGGTGCTTTTTGGCAAACTTGAGTCAACTTTTTGGACGAGATGGGTCCCATTATGCCTGGCGAAAACCAAACACTGCATTCCACAGTAAGAACATCATACCAAAGGTCAAGCATGGTGGTGGTGGTGTGATGGTTTGGGGATGCTTTGCTGCCTCAGGACCTGGATGACATGCCTTAGTGGAAGGAACCATGAATTCTGCTCTGTATCAGAGAATTCTACAGGAGAATGTCAGACCATCCGTCTGTGAGCTGAAGCTGAAGCGCAGCTGGGTCATGCAGCAAGACAATGATCCAAAACACACAATCAAGTCTACATGAAAATTGCTAAAAAGCAACAAATTGGACGTTTTGGAATGGCCTAGTCAAAGTCCAGACCTAATCCCAATTGAGATGTTGTGGCAGGACTTGAAACGAGCAGTTCATGCTTGAAAACCCATACGTCACTGAGTTAAAGCTGTTCTGCATGGAAGAGTGGGCCAAAATTCCTCCACAGCGACGTGAGAGACTGATCAACAACTACAGGAAGTATTTGGTTGGAGTCATTGCAGCTAAAGGTGGCACAACCAGTTATTGAGTGTAAGGGGGCAATTACTTTTTCACACAGGGGAATTGGGTGTTGCATAACTTTGTTTATGAAATAAATGAAATAAATATGTAATTGTTGTGTTATTTGTTCACTTATGTTCCCTTGATCTAATATTAGGTTTTGGTTGAAGATCTGATAACATTCAGTATCACAAATATGTAAAAGTAGAGAAAATTAGAAAGGGGGCAAATACTTTTTCATAGCACTGTATATATTATTAGTGTTCTATTTAATTCTCTGGTCCCTAATTACACTGAACAAAAATATAAACGCAACATGCAACAATTTCAAAGAGTTATAGTTCATATAAGGAAATCAGTCAATTGAAATAAATTCATTAGGTCACAGATACCTTAAAAAAAGGTAGGGGCGTGGATCAGAAAACCAGTCAGTATCTGGTGTGACCACCATTTGCCTCATGCAGTGCAACTCATCTCCTTCGCATAGAGTTGATCAGGCTGTTGATTATGGCCTGTGGAATGTTGTCCCACTCCTCTTCAATGGCTGTGCAAAGTTGCTGGATATTGGCGGGAACTGGAACACGCTGTTGTACACATCGATCCAGAGCATCCCAAACATGCTCAATGAGTGACATGTATGGTGAGTATGCAGGCCATGGAAGAACTGGGATATTTTCAGCTTCCAGGAATTGCGTGCAGATCCTTGATACATGGGGCTGTGCATTATCATGCTGAAACATGAGGTGATGGTGGCGGATGAATGGCAAGTCAATGGGCCTCAGGATCTTGTCACGGTATCTCTGTGCATTCAAATTGCCATTGATAAAATGCTAATTTTTTCGTTGTCCGTAGCTTATACTTAGCCCATACCATAACCCCACCACCACCATGGGACACTCTGTTCACAGCGTTGACATCAGTAAACCGTTCGCCCACACAAAGCCATACATGCTGTCTGCCATCTGCCCGGTACAGTTGAACCCAGGATTCATCTGTGAAGAGCACACTTCTCCAGCATGCCAATCAGTGGAGGCTCCTCAAAGGAGGAAGGGAAGGACCATCCTCCACAGTGAAATTTCATAAACATAAAAATAGTGAAACACTAAAAAAGTTATCCTTTTTAGATAAAACTATACTAAATATATTAATATGTCACCAAATAATTGATTAACACACACTGTTTTGCAATTAAGGTCTATAGTAACTTCAACAGCACTCTCTGGGGTAGCACCATGGTGTAGCCTGAGGACAGCTAGCTTCTGTCCTCCTCTGGGTACATTGACTTCAATACAAAACCTAGGAGGCTCGTAGGCCTCACCCCCTTCCATAGACCTACATGGTAATTATGACCACTTCCGGAGGACGACCTCCAACCAATCAAAGCTTTTGCGTTATGAATTGACATGTTGTCCATCCAATCATAGGATTAGGATTAGAGAATGAACCTAGAGTGTTGTATTGGGGTTGGCAGAGCATTATGGGGGGGGGGTGACCTGTGTTGAGAAGCTTGGTGGATGCCAACCACTCTTTAAACCTCATGGAAGAAGAAGATAAACTTGGTGACATTATTGGATAGAGATTGAAAAGTGATAGTTGAGCATTTTTTTTAGATTATTACATTCAAATTAGTTTCTTAAAATTACAGGAGACGGGGGAGGTACATTATAAAATTGTTTTCTTGGTTTTATAACTTTATTTTTGTGTCAAATTTATTTCAATTTGCCTTGCTAACCTCAATAGCAGTAGCTAGCTAGTTACCAGCTCCAGTGTGCAGTTTTCGCCGCCAACACTACCACAAATTTAGTTGACTTTTTGTTGAAGAACCCCTTTCATTCTCTGGGGTACACGGAAAAGGTGCGAATTAAAACCGAGGGTCTACCTCTGCCTGAGATCAGTTTCATGAAGAAGGATGAAAAGGTGAGGGCGTTCAATACCAATTGGTATCAAAAGTATAGCTGGTTAACAGAGAGCCTTTCATCAAGCCACCTGTATTGCTGGCCTTGCCTGCTTTTTAGAAAGTCTGAGCCTTGGGCGAAATAGGGGTACAAAGAACCTGAAGAACATCGATTGTTCAGCTAAACGGCAAAACATAAGCAGGGAGCATATAAATGCCCACATTAGATTCAAGCTTCTGGGAAAAAGCCGCATCGATCATGACGAAGGTCTGCCTATTCAAACTGCGCAACACAACGACAATGTAAGAAGAAACAGGCATGTTCTCAAGCGGCTTATCAACACCACTGCGTTTTTGGGCATGCAAGAATTGGCTTTTAGAGGACACGACGAGAGGGAAAGTTCCGCAAACAAGTGCAACTACAAGGAGCTTGCAGTGGTAATTGCTCGTTGTGATGCTTTACTTGCTGATCATATGGAACTTTCCACTGTCTTTTCTGGGATGTCGAAATAAATTCAGAATGATTTGATAGCTTCCATCGCATCATCCGTTTAAAGAGAGAGGTTGACGCAGCACATTTTTTTCACGCGCGCTCAAGTAGGCTTTCCACTTTCCTCCTGTATTTATTTAGCAAAGATGATAACACATAATCACTCCGGACAGACACAAATGTTGCAGCAGCCTAGGCTACACTTAAACATTAGAGATCTGACATGCTGTATGGGCAGTGGCGACCCGTCATTCAGAGCAGGTGGGGCAGAGCCTGTTTTGCATGTTATTTTGGCATTAATACTTGTCACACATCAGTTTGCAAACAATGTAAATAAATAAAAAACATGAGTTAATGAAGCTGCATACAAACATGGTCTCTTTTTTGCTTTCTTGAGTAAGGCAGCTCCAAAATGCAGGTGTTTCAGCCTAGCTCAGTGCTTTCTGTGGTTGTGGGGCAGCCTGCGGAAAATACAGAGCCTAGGGGTTGTTAATGTTCTCTAGTTGCGCAGTGATTGGCTCAGTGTTCTGTCACTGCCAAATCTAAGGGTAGAGCTCGAAAATTCAAGCCCCTGGGGTGCTGCCATAGAGTTACATTAGAAGTGCCCATCCAAGAAGGCTCAAGGTCATTGGCCACAGATAAAATGACGTCAAATCACGTTATATCTACAGTAGCTTTGATTGGACTGATCATGTCAACGTCATACTTTCAAAATCTTAGCTAACAGTAATCATCATGAATCAAGTCGACAATCTACTGGCAAATCCTTTTTAATCCTTGTCATATGAAGAGGAATGATAGATAAAACATATCGGTGCTCATCGGCCATTGGACATAAACATTACACAATAAGTTGGAAATCGCAAATTCAACAAATAGTGGTTTGGAAGGAATCAGTGGCTAACTGCAAGCATTACAAAGCAATCACTAGCCTGCTATTCAGTGGAGTGGGTGTGTGGTCCCAATTCTGGGTTTAAGTTTTTTTCAATTCAACATTGGCCATGCTGTCAATCCAGCATGATTTCTGCCGCGTTCAAAACAACTGTTAACTCGGAACTGGGAAATCTGACTTCAATGAGTTCAAGACAACTGGGAACTCGGGAAAAATGTGCTCCGACTGTGAAAATACGTTTTGAACGGTCATCCAACTCAGAATTGTAAGTTGGAAACTGACGTCATCATGATTCGACCTTGTTTTTTTCCTGAGTTCCCAGTTGTCTTGAAAGCACCATAAATCCAGAGAATGCCAGACTTTGATGACAAAATTTGCCCATGAAGGACTGCCGCACCACCTTCCTGTTCAAGTGAGCACAGCACAACAAGGTGATTCCAAAAATGTATTATATGCTGCTGCATAAATTATGTAATATGCCAGGGAGATATGTATACTGTAGCTAAGAAAGTAATACTAAGTGTATGTTGTGTAGTAAGCTGTTAGTAGCCCATGTGCCTTACCCTAATAATTTGGTCTATTTTCCCCTCTTAATTTTGCCTACTGTTCTGATTTGGTGGTGCACATGCAGCCTATAATCTGTTTTAGAGAAATGTAATCATCAAATATAAGAGCTTTCATTTTCTGCTTATATGCCCCCTTTATTTATCCTACGGTTCTGACTTGGTGTACAGGGAGAACACTGTAAGAACGGACCATGTTCTGAATTCTGTCGCTGTACATTTCAAAAGTGCTGAACAAATAGTTATATTGACTACGTCCGTCCTAGCTCGCTCATTTTTGTCTTAATCGAAATCATGGATTGCCTCTTATCTGCTCGTCATCCCCTTATGCCATAGGTTGTACATCTCAATTGTCAGTAGCAACCACATTTGTTTAAGCAAGTCAGCCATATCAGCTATGTTTTTTTAAAGGCAGTAAATGAGGCTGAATGTTTCGCTGCCAGACAAGGCTCCGCTGATAACCAGGTGTAGCAGTGGTAAGGTGTTGGGACTGCTGTTGGGACTCTGCTGTTGGGACAGCTTTATGTAGGCCCTAACAGTTTGTGGGTACAGTTTGTCACCGTTATAGTGCAATTAATGTATTGTTTTGTGTTGTGTTGTGCAGTGGCTTTGCTGGCATGCATCCCCAACATTTGTTTGTTTGTTTGTCCCACCAAGATTTACATGCTAAAATCGCCACTGTGTATGGGATGAAAACGAGACAATATTTCAGTCTGATCAACTGTAGGCTACTAATAAGAGCAGCTGCAGACAGCCTATGTGCGCTGTCCATTTGGTCAGGTAACTAATTGGTAACGTTATGTATTTATAGTCCATTTGTGTGTCAGGAGAAAATGTGAATGTGATCAAATTTGGTTTATATTCAAAATTGGGCTGGCTAGGCTGCCTATTCATTATTAACTGGAATTAAATCAATCAACATAATAGTGATGACAGATGTGAGTTAATTTTCTATAAGGCCTACAGTTGCATAGAACTGCATGATGCATAAAGCAAGCTCAGCCCTGTGAGTTCTATTGTCTATCAGTTGTTGTCTCTGTGTCTGGGTAGAGGAAATCCCCCTCCTAATCTAGTCTAAATATAATTAATATGAACAAGTATAAGGTTGCTGCAGTTTGACAGGGTTTGCATCCCCCCATAGGGCCAGGAGTTTTCCCCCCAGTTAAAAAAAAAACCATGTGACCTGATTAGTAAAAACAACTGATTAATCACTGTCATACCTTATAGGGTCCAGAGTTTTCCTGGGTAGGTTAACAGATAAGGAAAACTCTGGGCCCCAGGGGGTAAAAATTGGAACTCTGGGACCTATGGTATCACCAGTCTGCTTGCAGTTGTCAGTTATGTGGATGATCAGGGCTTTATTCAGGAATGTTTCTTGGGCTACTTTGAAGTGTCAAGTGGGCGAGATGCGCAGTCTGTGTTTAACTTCATGGAGAAACTTGTTGTTCAATCCTATGATGGCGCAGCTGTAATGGAATGTATCTGCTGTTTGTATTTCCAGCTAAGTCCTCTCCTGTTCCCTGATTAAGAGGTGACCACTCTACTACCATTGTCAACTCTGTCCTGACATGAACTGAAGCCACGTCTCATGTGCCCGCTCATCCACTAGCACATTGAATGTTTCCTCTCCAAGCACTGTGAGTACCCCTATCAATTTTCTCTCATTACTGTATGTAGAGTCAATCACATACACAAACACAATTACATTATTATACATCGATTTTACTCCTTGCTTGGACTAACTAGTGTGTTGTGTTATTGTTTTTTGTCAAACCCTGAAGTCAAGCCTCTGAACACCTCAACACATGCCTCATACCCTCATTCAATCACTGCTGTGATCCCTTCCCAAAACGGTGTAAGTAGCCCATTCTCATTCCCCATAATATTGTAATATAAAATGTCATTATTAAATACTTCAGGTTAAAATAATTAGTCTTTGAAGATTTTTCAAACACACTTTGACGTCTCCTTGCGTTCTGCGCCTATACCGTGGGTCTCCCATCCTCATCAATTTTTCAAGTCACCAGCCTCCACTGGTGCCAGTGGCTATCGAAGGTGAGCATTTGCCCTCTGAAGTCGGTTACGACCGTCTGCGGTTGAGGCCAGTTGGACGTACTGCCAAATTCTCTAAAGCGATGTTGGAGGTGGCTTATGGTAGAGAAATTAACGTTCCATTCTCTGGCAACCGCAATGGTGGACATTCCTGCAGTCAGCATGCCAATTGCACGCTCCCTCACAACTTGAGACATCTGTGGCATTGTGTTGTGTGACAAAACTGCAAATTTTTGAGTGGCCTTTTATTGTCCCCAGCACAAGGTGTACCTGTGTAATGATCATGCTGTTTAATCAGCTTCTTGATATGCCACACTTGTCAGGTGGATGGATTATCTTGGCAAAGGAAAAATGCTCACTAACAGGGAAGTAAACAAATTGGAGCACAATATTTTAGAGAAATAAGCTTTGTATGGAACATTGTTGGGATCTTTTATTTCAGCTCATGAAACATGGGACCAACACTTTACATGTTGCATTGATATTTTTGTTCAGTGTAGATGAAAAGCCAACAGAACTGAGAGATTCATTAGATGAGGTGAACCAATGGAAATACCAATTAACAGCTAACAAAGCTAGGGTATACATTAAAATCCCAGAGGTACATGTCTGGTCTAATGTCTTAAGACGACAATATAAAACCTTCACGTGTAGAGTGGTAAATTAAGTAAAATCCCTACAGCACTATAACACTGACAGCTGAAGGTCGCTGTGACGCCCACTCTCTCTCTCCCTGGCTAGCTCCTGGCCCTGCTGAAATCAACAGATCCATCAGCATTAGTGTGTGTGTGTTGCTGCTGAGGAAATCAGTAAATATCACCCCACCGGGACTCTGCAGAAGTACGTGGGCTGGGGTCGTTATGAGGGAACGTTTACCGCTGGCAGTGGGACAGGGTGGAAGCATTCTTGCATAGCAGTGGCTCCAAAGCCTCCTTTCCCTGTTGCATCTAATGTCACAACATCAACTGCAGTGGACCCCACTTTTATTCCTGTTATTCAAGATGGTGGGGAGTTAGGGGATTTCATGGTTTTCTCTTATCAATTAAACGGTTCTGCTAAAGTTTGTCCTGAGAAGAGATAGCCTAGGGGCCTACCTACACAGTACACACATCAAATGTCATGGAAATATGTTGTACAGGACAAGAGAGAATACAATTAGGCCTACATAAAAGCATTGCCAACTATAATGACTGGCAAACAGCAGTATCTCTTTGGATGCTAAGTGCTGTTGAATGCAGCCCATGATTTTACTATCCTCTTGTGAAGCCTAACTATCCATCCCTCCTCCCTGCCTAGAGCCAACTAATGCCTTTTCAGTCGTATGCTAATCCTTCCTAATATGAGGGATAATTGGGCCCCTCTCTTTCTCCTAATTTGAGTCCATTTAGTGACAGAATGACATCTTATTATGGTCTTTGGTGAATATCTTCACATTCACATCCCTAAACAAATACAAACAAGTAGACTAAACAACATGCATCAGGGAGGTTTGTATTATTCACCACATGATCTATCCTGTTGCCTAGTCACTTTACCCCTACCTATATGTACAGTACATACTGTAGCTACCTCAATGACCTCGTACCCCTGCACATCGACTGGTACTGGTACTCCCTGTATAGCCATGTTATTTTCTACTCCCTGTATAGCCATGTTATTTTCTACTCCCTGTATATAGCCATGTTATTTTCTACTCCCTGTATAGCCATGTTATTTTCTACTCCCTGCATATAGCCATGTTATTTTCTACTCCCTGTATAGCCATGTTATTTTCTACTCCCTGTATAGCCATGTTATTTTCTACTCCCTGTATATAGCCATGTTATTTTCTACTCCCTGTATATAGCCATGTTATTTTCTACTCCCTGTATATAGCCATGTTATTTTCTACTCCCTGCATATAGCCATGTTATTTTCTACTCCCTGTATATCCATGTTCTTTTCTACTCCCTGTATAGCCATGTTATTTTCTACTCCCTGTATAGCCATGTTATTTTCTACTCCCTGTATAGCCATGTTATTTTCTACTCCCTGCATATAGCCATGTTATTTTCTACTCCCTGTATATCCATGTTCTTTTCTACTCCCTGTATAGCCATGTTATTTTCTACTCCCTGCATATAGCCATGTTGTTTTCTACTCCCTGTATAGCCATGTTATTTTCTACTCCCTGTATATAGCCATGTTATTTTCTACTCCCTGCATATAGCCATGTTATTTTCTACTCCCTGTATATAGCCATGTTATTTTCTACTCCCTGTATATAGCCATGTTATTTTCTACTCCCTGTATATAGCCATGTTATTTTCTACTCCCTGCACATAGCCATGTTATTTTCTACTCCCTATATATAGCCATGTTATTTTCTACTCCCTATATATAGCCATGTTATTTTCTACTCCCTATATATAGCCATGTTATTTTCTACTCCCTGCATATAGCCATGTTATTTTCTACTCCCTATATATATCCATGTTATTTTCTACTCCCTATATATATATCCATGTTATTTTCTACTCCCTATATATAGCCATGTTATTTTCTACTCCCTGCATATAGCCATGTTATTTTCTACTCCCTATATATAGCCATGTTATTTTCTACTCCCTGTATATAGCCATGTTATTTTCTACTCCCTGTATATAGCCATGTTATTTTCTACTCCCTGCATATAGCCATGTTATTTTCTACTCCCTATATATAGCCATGTTATTTTCTACTCCCTGTCTATAGCCATGTTATTTTCTACTCCCTGTATATAGCCATGTTATTTTCTACTCCCTGCACATAGCCATGTTATTTTCTACTCCCTATATATAGCCATGTTATTTTCTACTCCCTGTATATAGCCATGTTATTTTCTACTCCCTGTAGAGCCATGTTATTTTCTACTCCCTGCATATAGCCATGTTATTTTCTACTCCCTGTATAGCCATGTTATTTTCTACTCCCTATATATAGCCATGTTATTTTCTACTCCCTGTATATAGCCATGTTATTTTCTACTCCCTGCATATAGCCATGTTATTTTCTACTCCCTGTATATAGCCATGTTATTTTCTACTCCCTGTATATAGCCATGTTATTTTCTACTCCCTGCATATAGCCATGTTATTTTCTACTCCCTGCATATAGCCATGTTATTTTCTACTCCCTGCATATAGCCATGTTATTTTCTACTCCCTGTATAGCCATGTTATTTTCTACTCCCTGCATATAGCCATGTTATTTTCTACTCCCTATATATAGCCATGTTATTTTCTACTCCCTATATATAGCCATGTTATTTTCTACTCCCTGTATACAGTGGGGAAAAAAAGTATTTAGTCAGCCACCAATTGTGCAAGTTCTCCCACTTAAAAAAATGAGAGAGGCCTGTAATTTTCATCATAGGTACACGTCAACTATGACAGACAAATTGAGGAAAAAAATTCCAGAAAATCACATTGTAGGATTTTTTATGAATTTATTTGCAAATTATGGTGGAAAATAAGTATTTGGTCACCTACAAACAAGCAAGATTTCTGGCTCTCACAGACCTGTAACTTCTTCTTTAAGAGGCTCCTCTGTCCTCCACTCGTTACCTGTATTAATGGCACCTGTTTGAACTTGTTATCAGTATAAAAGACACCTGTCCACAACCTCAAACAGTCACACTCCAAACTCCACTATGGCCAAGACCAAAGAGCTGTCAAAGGACACCAGAAACAAAATTGTAGACCTGCACCAGACTGGGAAGACTGAATCTGCAATAGGTAAGCAGCTTGGTTTGAAGAAATCAACTGTGGGAGCAATTATTAGGAAATGGAAGGCATACAAGACCACTGATAATCTCCCTCGATCTGGGGCTCCACGCAAGATCTCACCCCGTGGGGTCAAAATGATCACAAGACCGGTGAACAAAAATCCCAGAACCACACGGGGGGACCTAGTGAATGACCTGCAGAGAGCTGGGACCAAAGTAACAAAGCCTACCATCAGTAACACACTACGCCGCCAGGGACTTAAATCCTGCAGTGCCAGACGTGTCCCCCTGCTTAAGCCAGTACATGTCCAGGCCCGTGCTAGAGTGCATTTGGATGATCCAGAAAAGGATTGGGAGAATGTCATATGGTCAGATGAAACCAAAATATAACTTTTTGGTAAAAACTAAACTCGTCGTGTTTGGAGGACAAAGAATGCTGAGTTGCATCCAAAGAACACCATACCTACTGTGAAGCATGGGGGTGGAAACATCATGCTTTGGGGCTGTTTTTCTGCAAAGGGACCAGGACGACTGATCCGTGTAAAGGAAATAATGAATGGGGCCATGTATCGTGAGAGTTTGAGTGAAAACCTCCTTCCATCAGCAAGGGCATTGAAGATGAAACGTGGCTGGGTCTTTCAGTATGACAATGATCCCAAACACACCGCCCGGGCAACGAAGGAGTGGCTTCGTAAGAAGCATTTCAAGGTCCTGGAATGGCCTAGCCAGTCTCCAGATCTCAACCCCATAGAAAATCTTTGGAGGGAGTTGAAAGTTCGTGTTGCCCAGCGACAGCCCCAAAACATCACTGCTCTAGAGGAGATCTGCATGGAGGACTGGGCCAAAATACCAGCAACAGTGTGTGAAAACCTTGTGAAGACTTACAGAAAACATTTGACCTGTGTCATTGCCAACAAAGGGTATATAACAAATTATTGAGAAACTTTTGTTATTGACCAAATACTTATTTTCCACCATAATTTGCAAATAAATTCATTAAAAATCCTACAATGTGATTTTCTGGGTTTTTTTTCCTCATTTTGTCTGTCATAGTTGACGTGTACCTATGATGAAAATTACAGGCCTCTCTCATCTTTTTAAGTGGGAGAACTTGCACAATTGGTGGCTGACTAAATACTTTTTTTCCCCACTGTATAGCCATGTTATTTTCTACTCCCTGCATATAGCCATGTTATTTTCTACTCCCTGCATATAGCCATGTTATTTTCTACTCCCTGTATATAGCCATGTTATTTTCTACTCCCTGCATATAGCCATGTTATTTTCTACTCCCTGTATATAGCCATGTTATTTTCTACTCCCTATATATAGCCATGTTATTTTCTACTCCCTGCATATAGCCATGTTATTTTCTACTCCCTGCATATAGCCATGTTATTTTCTACTCCCTGCATATAGCCATGTTATTTTCTACTCCCTGTATATAGCCATGTTATTTTCTACTCCCTGTATATAGCCATTTATTTTCTACTCCCTGCATATAGCCATGTTATTTTCTACTCCCTATATATAGCCATGTTATTTTCTACTCCCTATATATAGCCATGTTATTTTCTACTCCCTATATATAGCCATGTTATTTTCTACTCCCTATATATAGCCATGTTATTTTCTACTCCCTGCATATAGCCATGTTATTTTCTATTCCCTGCATATAGCCATGTTATTTTCTACTCCCTATATATATAGCCATGTTATTTTCTACTCCCTATATATAGCCATGTTATTTTCTACTCCCTGTATATAGCCATGTTATTTTCTACTCCCTGCATATAGCCATGTTATTTTCTACTCCCTGTATATAGCCATGTTATTTTCTACTCCCTGTATATAGCCATGTTATTTTCTACTCCCTGCATATAGCCATGTTATTTTCTACTCCCTATATATAGCCATGTTATTTTCTACTCCCTATATATAGCCATGTTATTTTCTACTCCCTATATATAGCCATGTTATTTTCTACTCCCTATATATAGCCATGTTATTTTCTACTCCCTGCATATAGCCATGTTATTTTCTACTCCCTATATATAGCCATGTTATTTTCTACTCCCTGTATATAGCCATGTTATTTTCTACTCCCTATATATAGCCATGTTATTTTCTACTCCCTGCATATAGCCATGTTATTTTCTACTCCCTATATATAGCCATGTTATTTTCTACTCCCTGTATATAGCCATGTTATTTTCTACTCCCTGGCTATGTTGACCTTAATAAGTTGACCTTAACTACAGATCTAGGATCAGCTCACTCTCTCCCAATGCTAACCTTTACTGTTAGGATGGAAAACACAAAACTGACCTAAGATCAGTGTCTACTAGGGACCACTTCATCCTACTCTGTGAGTCCGGGCCAAGGGTGACACAGGTTGCATTACGTTGGCATTACGTAGGGGTTGGGTTTGCATCCCAAATGACACCTTATTTAGGGAATAGGGTTTCATTTGAGATGCTGCCTGTGTCTCAGCCCCCTTATCAAACTTAAGGAGAACTCCATTCAGTACATAATACATATCAGCTAGTCCAGTGGTCACCAACCTTTTCTGAGTCAAGATCACTTTTGCAGTCAAAAAGCAAGCTGAGATCTACCACTCAGATTCTTTTAAACTTTACTTAAAAAATTTAACATTAACCTAACAGTTCTGTAGGAATGAGGTTTGTGCAGTAGGCCTAATACATTATCACAGCATATTGGCTATATGCCTGGCCTGCCAATATTGTTCTCCTCAGACCTTATTATATTTCAAAACTCAAGCTTTGATAACAACTAGATCAGTTGGTGTAGCACCTGCGAGGCACAGCTGAGCATAAATGCTAATAATTTGCTTTTTTATTTTACTGGAGGTGTGGTACCTGCATCAGATGGGTATGGTGCTTTCAGGTCAGAAAGTCGGAGCTCTAGGAAGATGCCAGAGTTACCGAGTTGGATGACCGTTCAAAACTATTTTCCCCAGAGTTCCCAGTTGTCTTGAACGCTCAGAAGTCGGAGATTTCAGTTCTTTTGAACACAGTATTAGTCTCAATGGAGGGAGGGAGAGAGCAGCAGAGGGTCCGCCTCTCACGGTCACTGCTCTCTCCTTTCCTCAGGTGAGATTGACCAGAAAGAGGGGACACAATCTTTCAACTGATGGCGAAACTCAAGTCGTACCGCATCTGCCTCAGGCATAAATTCAGGTTGTTCCTATGACTAAAGAAAGTGAAATACTCCTCGACATTAAAATAGATACAACGAGCTGCTAATAATAATAAAAATGCAGGGCTATTGATATACTTGGCTACTCATTCATTGCAGCGTGAGTGGAAGTAGAGGGAATTGCGCGCTTTACGTTTTGTAATAGTGCTTAATAAAACTTAGACACTCATAAAAACAGCAGCTCTTTGCTGTATTCTTTGACAGTCTCTCTCTGGTCATGGTTTTAAAAGTTATGAAATCTCACGTAGGCTAGTCTGTGGCCGGGGAAGCTGTAGGTAGACACAGTGATTTGAGCTATCTGATTGGCCAGCACAGTAGGCACACTCAATTTAGCCACAGATCTCCCGGTCTGCCAGGTAGGCGGAGTTTGTCTTTTCAGACATATGAAATGGTTCAAACTGGGAATAATTTGCCTACCCGGTGAACAGGACTTCTGAATCAAGTGCATCTACCACCAACAGCGCAACAGGCCTTTATCGTTGGTGATCGACTAGGAATGCCTTGAAGATCGACCAGTTGGTGACCACTACCAGTATGGTTACATTTCATATTATATACTGTAGTCAGTATTATTATAGTAAGACTTATTATTATTATTATATTCAGACTTTCAGTCAATCTGTCTGCAGCAGTCTATCAACAGCTTTGAAACATGTTATACAGGACTTGTAGCACACCAAAATATTTGAAGATAAATAATGTAACCTCTTCTACCACCACCTCGTCCCATCTCACATGTTTAAAATGCTTTCAAGCCAGAACTGAAAATGAGGCAATGGCTTTATCTCAATACTCTACAGTGGCCTCCTTTACTTGTCTCCTTTCCTTCTTTCCTTTTCTTCACCCGGCTTGATCCGACACTAGTAGGATAGGTTCTAGCCAGTGAGAGGAAGCCACTGTTGAGTATTGAGACTGGGCTTGGGCGGTATCCAGATTATCATACCTTCATGTGGTCCTCTGTAGCTCAATTGGTAGAGCATGGCACTTGTAACGCCAGGGTAGTGGGTTCGATCCCCGGGACCACCCATACGTAAAAATTTATGCGCACATGACTGTAAGTCCCTTTGGATAAAAGCGTCTGCTAAATGGCTTATTATTATTATTATTATTATTATACCGACCTTGTGCCATACCGGGATATTCGGTAATACCGGCACTGAACACAAGGAGCGCTATTTTCAAACCCCACTCTGCCTCTAATCCAAAGGTTAGCAATGCTAACAAGTACATGTAAAAACCCATATAGAATGCTAACTAAATGCAAAAGTTATACAAGTAACAAAAAAATGCTACTCTCAGTTTGCTGCACGCACAAAACAAATATTAGACAGCAAGGCTCTTGTTCCGGGTAGGGATTTTCTGCTGTTACCAAGCAAAGCTTTATTTTGGAAGAAGTTAACCACTTAGCTAGATAGCTAACTAGCTACTAAATTAGCAAACCAAAGCATTTGCCACATTTTAGACAGTAAACTTAATAGTTATAAGATATCTCGCTGGCAAACATTTAGTTGTAAATTCCATACTGTAACTAGATCACCTGACTTGTGCTGAACAACAGTGAGTGACTCACAAGGCTCTGGTCTCTCGTCGTTGTGTGCTTGTGAACAAACACCACGTGACTGGAGACTACCGGTAAGCTTCATAATGAAACATTATGTGACAGGTGAAATGAACAATGCGATCTTCTTTATCTCCTAACGTATAAGTTGACTTGAGGGATTTACTTAAAAAGTAGCAACAAATATTCACATTTATTTAAAAAACTTCAAAGAAATAATATTAACGGTATTGAAAAACCATCCCGTGGCTATTTCCAAATAACCCATTATACGGTATATACGGTATACCGCCCAAGCCTAATTGGGACACTGTGTGTCCTACTGACCTAGGTGCAGCAGGGGTTGGGTTAAATGCGGAAGACACATTTTGGTTGAATGCATTGAGTTGTGCAACTGAATAGGTATCCCCTTTCCCTGTGGTACTGCTTGGCCAATTGATCTAATTTCCTGTTGGAAACGCTAGGCTAGCTATCTCTCTCCAGGTGGTTGAATTCTATTGTGTATGATGTTATTATTTTCTGTGATATTATTGAGTTCTGCTGGAAGGTCAACATGAAGCTTATGAATGTCTGCTGCTATTCCCATTAACCCTGAGGAGCTAAGGGACAGACACTGTTCATCCAATTTGTAAGTCGCTCTGGATAAGAGCGTCTGCTAAATGACTTAAATGTAAATGTAAATATAGCAATGTTATTTTCTACTCCCTGTCTATAGCCATGTTATTTTCTACTCCCTGCATATAGCCATGTTATTTTCTACTCCCTATATATAGCCATGTTATGTTCTACTCCCTATATAGCCATGTTATTTTCTACTCCCTGTATATAGCCATGTTATTTTCTACTCCCTGTATATAGCCATGTTATTTTCTACTCCCTGCATATAGCCATGTTGTTTTCTACCGTTCCCTGTTTTTTCTACCCTGATAGCCATGTTTTTTTCTACTCCCCGATATAGCCCTGTTTTTTTACTCCCCGTATATGCCATGTTATTTTTTACTCCCTGTATATGCCCTGTTTTTTCTACTCCCTTATTACCATGTTTTTTCTACTCCCTGCCCAAAAACCATTTTATTTTCTACTCCCTATATATACCCTGTTATTTTCATCCCTTTTTATAGCCCGTTATTTTCTAATCCCTATATATACCATGTTATTTTCTACTCCCCGCATATAGCCCTGTTATTTTCTATCCCTATATTTCCTGTTATTTTTCTCCCATATATCCCGGGGTTTTTCTACTCCCCGCATTGCCATGTTATTTTCTACTCATATTGCCATGTTATTTTCTACTCCCTGATTAGCCCCTTTTTTTTTCTCTCCCTTATTACCTGTTTTTTTTTACTCCCTGCTATAGCCATGTTATTTTCTACTCCCTTATATAGCCATGTTTTTTTCTACTCCTGTCTATAGCCCGTTATTTTTACTCCCCGTTATAACCCTGTTATTTTTCTACTCCCCCGAAACCCTGTTTTTTTCTACCCCCATATATAGCCATGTTATTTTTTACCCTGTTTAAAACCATGTTTTTTTCTACCCTGTAGAGCCATGTTATTTTTTTCCCCTGTATGCCATGTTATTTTCTCCCCCGTAATAGCCATGTTTTTTCACTCCCTATAATAGCCATGTTATTTTCTCTCCCCTTTTATAGCCGTTATTTTCTACTCCCTGTATTGCCATTTTTTTTTCTTTCCCCCCGATATGCCATGTTATTTTTACTCCCCCTATAGCCATGTTTTTTCTACTTCCCCATATATAAAAGCCTGTTTTTTCTACTCCCTGTATATAGGGATGTTATTTTTACTCCCCCCAAAAGCCATTTATTTTTTCTACTCCCTTTAATAGCCATGTTATTTTACTCCCTGTATATAGCCATGTTATTTTCCCACCCCTGCAATACCTGTTATTTTCTATCCCTAATATAGCCATGTTTTTTTACCCCTAATATACCATGTTTTTTTCTCCTTATATAGCCATGTTTTTTTTTTACTCCCTCATATAGCCAGTTATTTTCTACTCCCTGTTAAGCCATGTATTTTCTACTCCCTTTTTATAGCCCTGTTATTTTTTTACTCCCCCGATATAGCCAGTTTTTTTTCTACCCCTATAAGCCATGTATTTTTCTACTCCTGAAAGCCATGTTATTTTACTCCCTGTAACCATTATTTTTACCCCTGCATATAGCCATTATTTTTTACTCCCAAATACCTGTTTTTTCTATATATTAAGCCATGTTATTTTTACTCCCTTAATTCCATGTTATTTTTCTACCCCTGCATATACCCTGTTTTTTCTACTCCTGATATGCCTTTATTTTTTTTACTCCCGTATTCCCTGTTATTTTTTTACCCCTGCAAAAAGCCATGTTATTTTTACTCCCTGTATTAAACCATTTTATTTTCTACTCCCCCTATATAGCCTTTATTTTCCTCCCCGCATATAGCCATGTTATTTTCTACTCCCTCATATGCCTGTTATTTTTACTCCCTGCATATAGCCATGTTTTTTCCACTCCCTGATATAGCCTGTTATTTTCTTCCCGTATAAGCCCCTTTTTTTCTCTCCCTGATTGCCATGTTTTTTCTATCCCCATATTAGCCCTTTATTTCACTCCCAATAAGCCATGTTATTTTTTTACTCCCATAATTTCCCTGTTAATTTCTACTCCCTAATTTTAGCCCTGTTATTTTCTACTCCTCAATACCATTTATTTTTTACTCCCTGCATATAGCCATGTTATTTTCTCTCCCCATATAAGCCATTTTTTTATCCCTAAATTAAACCATGTTTTTTCTACTCCCTATATAACCATTTATTTTCTACTCCCTTTTGCCTTTATTTTCTATCCCTGCATATCCCTTTTTTTTCTACTCCCTTTATAGCCATTTATTTCTATCCCTGTTATACCATGTTTTTTTTCTACTCCCTTATATAGCCATGTTATTTTCACCCCCTGCATATACCCATTTTTTTCTACTCCCGTTATAAGCCATTTTTTTTTTTCTATCCCTGTATATACCTTTTTATTTTCCCCTCCCTGCATATAGCCTTTATTTTTCTACCCCTATATAGCCAGTTATTTCACTCCCTAATATAGCCATGTTATTTCTCTCCCTATATATAGCCATGTTTTTTTTCTACCCCTATTATCCAGGTTTTTTTTATCCCTGCATAACCATTATTTTTCTATTCCCTGCATATCCCATGTTTTTTTTCTACCTCTATATAAAGCCATGTTATTTTCTATCCTATTTTCCTGTTTTTTTACCCCCTGTTAGCCATGTTATTTTTCCCCCGTTATACCCAGGTTTTTTCTACTCCCTTATATAGCCAGTTTTTTTCTACTCCCTGCATAGGGGCCTGTTATTTTACTCCCTAAAATTAGCCATTTTATTTTTACCCCCTATTATACCCATGTTTTTTTTCTACTCCCTATATTACTGTTATTTTTACCCCTATAATACCCAGTTATTTCTACTCCCGCTTACCCTTTTTATTTTTCTACTCCCTATATATGCCATTTTATTTTTACCCCGTTATAGCCATGTTTTTTTTACCCCCATATATACCCTGTTTTTTTCTACTCCTTCATATAGCCTGTTTTTTCTACCCCCTATATATGCCATTTTTTTTACTTCCCTTAATACCATTTTTTTTCTACTCCCGCTATGTTTACCTTAAAATTTGACCTTAACTAAGTCTAGGATCAGTCACTCTTCCCAATGCTAACCTTTATTTTTAGGAGGAAAAACAAAACTCCAAAATCATGTCTACAGGGACCATTCATCCATGGTGAGCCCGGGGGGCCAAAGGGGGAAAAGGGTTGCATTACTTTGGGCTTACGTGGGGGGTTGGGTTTGCACCCAAATAAAACCTTATTTGGGGAATATTTCATTTGGGGGCTGCCTGTTCTCAGCCCCCTTAAAACTTGGGGAGAACCCATTCAGTACATAAACTATCACTAGTCCGGGGTCCCCAAACCTTTTCTAGTCAGACCCATTTTTGCATAAAAAAGAAAGCGAGACTACCACTCAATTCTTTTAAACTTTTTTAAAAAAATTTAACATTACCACAGTTTGTGGGAATATTTTGTGCATGGCCTAATACATTAACAGTTTTTTTGGGGCTTATGCCTGGCCTGCCAATTTTGTTCCCCCCGACCTTTTTAAATTTAAAAAATAAAGCTTTAAAAACAATAGATCATTGGGTAGCCCCTGCGAGGCACGCTGAGCAAAAATGCAAATAATTTGTTTTTTTTTTTTACTGGAGGTTGTGGGTCCCCTGCATCAAGGTAGGGGCTTTCAGGGTCAAAAGTCGGAGTTTGGGAAATGCCGAGTTACGATTTGGATGACCTTTCAAACTATTTTCCCCAGATTCCCGTTTCTTAAACGTAAAAGGGGAAGTTAGTTTTTTTTTAAAACAAGTATTTGTCCAATGGAGGGAGGGGGGGGAAAGCAGCAAGGGCCCCGCCTCCACGGTCACGCTCTCTCCTTTTCCTAAAAGGTGGGGTTGACCGAAAGAGGGGACAAAAAAAATTTTTCCCAACGAGGGAAATCAAGTCGTAACCGCATTTCCCTAGGAAAAAATTTTCGTTGTTCTATGCTTTAAAGAAAGTAAAAAATACCCCGACATTAAAAATAGATAAAACAGTTATAAAATAAAAAGCAGGGCATTGATATATTGGCTACTCATTAATTGCAGCTGGTGGAAGAGAGGGAATTGGCGTTTCGTTTTTGTAAAGTGCTTAAAAAACTTAGACACTCATAAAAACAGCAGCTCTTTGCTGTATTCTTTGACAGTCTCTCTCTGGTCATGGTTTTAAAAGGTATTGAAATCTCACGTAGGCTAGTCTGTGGCCGGGGAAGCTGTAGGTAGACACAGTGATTTGAGCTATCTGATTGGCCAGCACAGTAGGCACACCTCAATTTAGCCACAGATCTCCGGTCTGCAGGTAGGCGGGAAGTTTGTCTTTTCAGACATATGAAATGGTTCAACTGGGAATAATTTGCCCTACCCGGGTGAACAGGACTTCTGAATCAAGTGCATCTACCACCAACAGCGCAACAGGCCTTTATCGTTGGTGATCGACTAGGAATGCCTTGAAGATCGACCAGTTGGTGACCACTACCCAGTATGGTTACATTTCCATATTATATACTGTAGTCAGTATTATTATAGTAAGACTTATTATTATTATTATATTCAGACTTTCAGTCAATCTGTCTTGCAGCAGTCTATCAACAGCTTTGAAACATGTTATACAGGACTTGTAGCACACCAAAATATTTGAAGATAAATAATGTAACCTCTTCTACCACCACCTCGTCCCATCTCACATGTTTTAAAATACTTTCAAGCCAGAACTGAAAATGAGGGCAATGGCTTTATCTCAATACTCTACAGTGCCTCCTTTACTTGTCTCCTTTCCTTCTTTCCTTTTCTTCACCCGGCTTGATCCGACACTAGTAGGATAGGTTCTAGCCAGTGAGAGGAAGCCACTGTTGAGTATTGAGACTGGGCTTGGGCGGTATCCAGATTATCATACCTTATGTGGTCCTCTGTAGCTCAATGGTAGAGCATGGCACTTGTAACGCCAGGGTAGTGGGTTCGATCCCCGGGACCACCCATACGTAAAAATTTATGCGCACATGACTGTAAGTCCCTTTGGATAAAAGCGTCTGCTAAATGGCTTATTATTATTATTATTATTATTATTATACCAACCTTGTGCCATACCGGGATATTCGGTAATACCGGCACTGAACACAAGGAGCGCTATTTTCAAACCCCACTCTGCCTCTAATCCAAAGGTTAGCAATGCTAAACAAGTACATGTAAAACCCATATAGAATGCTAACTAAATGCAAAAGTTATACAAGTAACAAAAAAAATGCTACTCTCAGTTTGCTGCACGCACAAAACAAATATTAGACAGCAAGGCTCTTGTTCCGGGTAGGGATTTTCTGCTGTTACCAAGCAAAGCTTTATTTTGGAAGAAGTTAACCCACTTAGCTAGATAGCTAACTAGCTACTAAATTAGCAAACCAAAGCATTTGCCACATTTTAGACAGTAAACTTAATAGTTATAAGATATCTCGCTGGCAAAACATTTAGTTGTAAATTCCATACTGTAACTAGATCACCTGACTTGTGCTGAACAACAGTGAGTGACTCACAAGCCTCTGGTCTCTCGTCGTTGTGTGCTTGTGAAACAAACACCACGTGACTGGAGACTACCGGTAAGCTTCATAATGAAACATTATGTGACAGGTGAAATGAAGAATGCGATCTTCTTTATCTCCTAACGTATAAGTTGACTTGAGGGATTTACTTAAAAAGTAGCAACAAATATTCACATTTATTTAAAAAACTTCAAAGAAATAATATAACGGTATTGAAAAACCATCCCGTGGCTATTTCCAAATAACCCATTATACGGTATATACGGTATACCGCCCAAGCCTAATTGGGACACTGTGTGTCCTACTGACCTAGGTGCAGCAGGGGTTGGGTTAAATGCGGAAGACACATTTTGGTTGAATGCATTGAGTTGTGCAACTGAATAGGTATCCCCTTTCCCTGTGGTACTGCTTGGCCAATTGATTCTAATTTCCTGTGGAAACGCTCAGGCTAGCTATCTCTCTCCAGGTGGTTGAATTCTATTGTGTATGATGTTATTATTTTTCTGTGATATTATTGAGTTCTGCTGGAAGGTCAAATGAAGCTTATGAATGTCTGCTGCTATTCCCATTAACCCTGAGGAGCTAAGGGCAGACATGTTCATCCAATTTGTAAGTCGCTCTGGATAAGAGCGTCTGCTAAATGACTTAAATGTAAATGTAAATATAGCAATGTTATTTTCTACTCCCTGTATATAGCCATGTTATTTTCTACTCCCTGGTATATAGCCATGTTATTTTCTACTCCCTGTATATAGCCATGTTATTTCTACTCCCTGCATATAGCCATGTTATTTTCTACTCCCTATATAGCCATGTTATATCTACTCCCTATATATAAGCCATGTTTATTTCTACTCCCTATATATAGCCATGTTATTTTCTATCCCTATATTTATTAGCCATTATGTTCTACTCCCTATATTTGCCCGTTTTTTTCACTCCCCATATATGCCTTTATTTTTCTACTCCCTAATAGCCATTTTTTTCTACTCCCCATATATGCCCTGCCAAGGTAGTGGGTTCGATCCCGGGACCCCCCCTACACAAAAGTATGCACGATGCTGTAAATGCTTTTGGGTAAAGCGTCTGCTAAATTTTGGATATTTTTTTATATTTTTATGTTATTTTCTACTCCCCATAAGCCATGTTTTTTTCTCTCCCTGCATATAGCCCCGTTTTTTATCTCCCTATATATAGCCGTTATTTTTTCTACCTATATATAGCCTGTTTTTTTTATATCCCGCAATTTCCAGTTATTTTCTACTCCCTGCATATACCCTGTTTTTTTTCTATCCCTGTATTAGCCATGTTTTTTTACTCCCTATTAGGGGCCTGTTATTTTCTACTCCCCGTAATAGCCTGTTATTTTCCCCTCCCTATATATACCCTGTTTTTTTTCTACTCCCTTATTAGCCATGTTATTTTTTAACTCCCATATATAGCCATGTTATTTCTACTCCCTATAATAGCCAGTTATTTTGTACTCCCTATATATAGCCATGTTATTTTCTACTCCCTATATATAGCCATGTTATTTTCTACTCCATATATAGCCATGTTATTTTCTACTCCCTATATATAGCCAGTTATTTTCTACTCCCTGAATATAGCCATGTTATTTTCTACTCCCTGATATAGCCATGTATTTTCTATCCCTGTATATAGCCATTTATTTTTAACTCCCTGTTATATAGCCATGTTATTTTCTACTCCCTGTATAGCCATGTTATTTTCTACTCCCTGCATATAGCCCATGTGATTTTCTACTCCCTATATATAGCCATGTTATTTTCTACTCCCTGCATATAGACATGTTATTTTTCTACTCCCTATATATAGCCATGTTATTTTTACTCCCTATATATAGCCATGTTATTTTCTACTCCCTATATATAGCCATGTTATTTTTAGTCGTTATTCACTGTGTATTTTTCCTCATGTCACTATTTCTATTTTGTTATATCTTATCTTTAACTCTGCATTGTTGGAAATGAACCCGTAAGTAAGTACTTCACTGTTAGTCTACACCTGTTGTCTACGAAGCATGTGACAAAGAACATTTGATTTGATCCTGAGTGGCCATTGCTGTGTTCCAGAAGAATCCAATACTGGCTGCTGCAGTACAGCTGTTTCATAGCCTAGGCCTAATTGTTTTTCTATAGGACGCTGAAATTATCTTCATAATGACAAAAGTGGAAACTAGTCCTAACCTTAATCTAGTCTCTGACACAACAAGGAAAAGTACATGTCATGATAGCATAAGCTTATTTAGCAAATGTTTTAAATATTTGTTTAAAGCTCATAGACACTAGCATTGATTTGAGTATCAACTAGGGCTGTGACGGTCTTGGAATTTGAGGTTGCGGTAATTGGCCAGGCCAATGTACACGGTCACTGACATAATCGTTGGGGGAGGGGGGGGGATTGGCGCATTGTTCATTTGACACAACATTGGCGCATTATAGGCCTCAGAGCCAGAACAACATTGTCGACTGCTGTTGAATAATTAATGAAGTCAGACACATCCAACCTTTTTTAGAAGACCGATTTATTTATTTACTAGCCAGCAATGAAAACATGCATTGTATAAAAGAAAGTCTACACATCAAGTGCCATAGTCTATAGGCTAGCTCTTCTACACCCCCGCGCATCTAGCGGTTTAGCTGCTGGAGCATCAAACGACCATTGGAAAGAGGAGATGCAGACAGTTTAATAGACAGACTTAGTTAGCAAAACAATTGCTTATAATCAATAGCGAATACTCCCACTATTAGGTCAAGTTTATCTATATGAAAATATAGTTAATAAAAATATGTTGTTCTAAAAATGTATGTAGGACTATTTAAATGGTTTTGATGGTTATTTTATTTTCATGACGGTCTTGCCTATAACTGTCACTTACACGGTTATTCAATTACCATCACAGCCCTAGTACTAACCAATAATAAATAAGCTGTATGTCCTTATCAGCTAACCAAAGAAGGACAAACTCTAACTTCCTGCCTTACCTTCTTCTCTCTGGTTGTTGAGAGCCATGTTCTTCAGCGTGTTCTTGTCCACAGCAGGCAGGCCGTTAGCGTTGTCTGTGTAGGACGGCCGGTAGTTGACATCAGAACGCGAGCGGTTGTGGCCTTTCTTAAAGGCGGTGTTGGAGGAGTTAGAGGTGGTGTTGTTGGTGTCCTTGGTGTGGGCAGCCAGGTCGTTGGTGGAACGAGCACGACTCCTTTTCCCGTGCCTCAGACCCAGCACGCTGAAGGCAGAGGGCTGGTCAGCCCAGGCCACGTTACGGGGGGACACCTCAGTCCCCTGCTCCCTGGCCAGCAGGCCCCACACCCCGCTAGAGCTCAGCTTCCCCAGAGCTGCAGACATCTCCTGCAGCTTGGGGTGGTGTTGCCTGGGATGCCGGAACCCCTCCCCTCCCTGGCAGTGGCTTTGGCCTCCACCTCCATCCAGGCAGTGTAGGAAGTCCTCAGTGGCCTCCAGGGCAGGACTAATGTCCTCCACCTCCAGCCCCTCCATGGTGCTCTCGGGCTGGGCCCTGCCTAGAGGCTGTTAGGGCAGGCCTCTATGGGGCTGGGTGGTTCTCTGGGCAGGAGAGGATCCAAGCGGCTCTGGAACTCTCAGCCGTAGCATCTGCCGTCTGAGCCTCAGAGGGAGGCAGTCTGAGCGGACGGTGTTCCTCGAGGGCAGGAAGTTCCTTCCAGGACAACAATCCCTCTTTAACACAGCTCTGTTAATCAACTAGCTAGAGGCGGACGATTTTATTTAGTTAATGCTAGAGGTTGGCACAGTAAGAGGAGTAGGTCTGGCCTTTGCCAGAAATTCTCATGGCACAGTTTTCTTACACAGGCCGATAGTGCCACAGTTCTTCAAATGAGTCTGTGTGTGTGAGAGGGGGAAAGAGCTCTCACATGAATATGTGTGTAACAAAGAAGAATGCTCCTCCTCCACATTGGGTGATGATGTCAACAAAAGGGGTCAATATGAAGCTTCACTGTGTCATGGAAAAGAAGAGGGAACAAAAAAAGGAAGCATGTCAGGGTTGATTATCGGATAGTAAGAAACACAGAACAGGGTCAACATCAGTTATGTTTAGCATTGAACGAGGCTTAGCAAGCTTCACATTTCCCATTCTCATCAAACCTGCACAATATTCTGACAGTTTACAAACACTCACTGCCAACAATCTTAACTCATAATAAACCTATTGTAAATCAAAGACAATTACCTACAATCAATCTGAACCTACCCTCAACCATCACCTAAAAAGGGTATCAAATGGACATCTCCCCACAGTCAGACTCATCATCGGATGCTCCCTCGACTGTTCGGATCATCCCAGTTTGAGGGAGTAAATGGAATAGTCTAACACACAGCTAACCTGTGCCTCAGGCATTGACCAACCTGCCCTTCCGTCTGCCCAGCCAGTTTAGCCTCTCACTGTCAGGGTTTGTTGTTATTTTTCTCTTCCTCCGTGATGCAGCCTCTGACTCCTCATCCATCGCTACCTCTCTCTCTCTTTCTCTCTCTCACTGACAGGCCCATCAATTTTCCCTCCCTCCCTTGCCCCTCCCGGCTCGGGGTCTTTCACTTTCCTCCAGACATGAATTATTTAGAGGGCATTACATCACCATTAGCCAATCCCTGGACTGCATACAGTCAGTACTTCATTGGGAAAGGGGTGGGGTGAGGTGGAGGAAGGGGGTGATGGTCGGGAGGTGGATGGATCAAGGACGGCAGGCAGGCCAGATGAGGCTGTGCTTTGGAATGCTGTCTCAGTGACAACAACCCTGTCAAGAGGCCGGGCAGGGTGTGACTCTGCAACTCCAGGTACAGCTTCAGCTACAGTAGCTATCGGACTCATCAATCTCTCTTCAGCAATGACCTCACCGCATCCAATGAAACACTGTCATCATGGCTATGTACTGTAAGCTCGTAGCAAATTAACATCCCACAGACAATCATCCTGCACTAAAGAGTATGCCCAACACTAGGAAAACATATTCAACCATCCCCAAGAGCAACCGGTAAAAAGGAAACACAAATCGTGACATTTAACATGAGTGACCTTGACTCAAAATGGCCTGGTGACGTGATGGGTTAAGTGCATGACTGTCTGAGGCTAGCAGCACCCCCAGCAGCAACCAGCTGCTGAGTCACGACTGTGTTTTCACACCTTTCCTAGCAGACAACCCTGTGTGACACAGAATCACACAGTGCCTCCTCACTGACTATTTATATCCCTCTCACACAGCAGGCATTGCATCCTCCCTTTGGGCAGTAGCTAGCATCAGTGTGTGTCTGTCTGTAAGCATGAACATATAGTATATAGCTATCCACATCTTTATTTTATACACTACCGTTCAAAAGTTTGGGGTCACTTAGAAATATCCTTGTTTTCGAAAGAAAAGCAATTTTTTAACATAAAAAAAAAAATCAGAAATACAGTGTAGACATTGTTAATGTTGTTAATGGCTATTGTAGCTGGAAACGGCTGATTTTTAATGGAATATCTACATAGGCATACAGAGGACCATTATCAGCAACCATCAGTCCTGTGTTCCAATGGCACGTTGTGTTTGGTAATCCAAGTTTATCATTTAAAAAAGGCTAATTGATCATTAGAAAATCATTTTGCAATTATGTTAGCACAGCTGAAAACTGTTGTGCTGATTAAAAAAAGCAATAAAACTGGCCTTCTTGAGACTAGAAGAGTATCTGGAGCATCAGCAATTGTGGGTTCGATTACAGGCTCAAAATGGCCAGAAACAAAAAACTTTCTTCTGAAACTTGTCAGTCTATTCTTGTTCTGAGAAATGAAGGCTATTCCATGCGAGAAATTGCCAAGAAACGGAAGATCTTGTACAACGCTGTGTACTACTCCCTTCACAGAACAGCGCAAACTGGCTCTAACCAGAATAGAAAGAGGAGTGGGAGGCCCCGGTGCACAACTGAGCAAGAGGACAAATACAGTCGTGGTCAGAAGTTTTGAGAATGACACAAATATTCATTTTCACAAAGTCTGCTGCCTCAGTTTTTATGATGGCAATTTGCATATACTCCAGAATGTTATGAAGAGTGATCAGATTAATTGCAATTAATTGCAAAGTCCCTCTTTGCCATGAAAATGAACTTAATCCCCCAAAAACATTTCCACTGCATTTCAGCCCTGCCACAAAAGGACCAGCTGACATCATGTCAGTGATTCTCTCGTTAACACAGTTGAGAGTGTTGACGAGGACAAGGCTGGAGATCACTCTGTCATGCTGATTGAGTTAGAATAACAGACTGGAAGCTTTAAAAAGGAGGGTGGTGCTTGAAATCATTGTTCTTCCTCTGTTAACCATGGTTACCTGCAAGGAAACATGTGCCGTCATCATTGCTTTGCACAAAATGGCCTTCACAGGCAAGGATATTGCTGCTAGTAAGATTGCACCTAAATCAACCATTTATCGGATCATCAAGAACTTCAAGGAGAGAGGTTCAATTGTTGTGAAGAAGGCTTTAGGGCGCCCAAGAAAGTCCAGCAAGAGCCAGGATTGTCTCCTAAAATGGATTCAACTGCGGGATCGGGGCACCACCAGTGCAGAGCTTGCTCAGGAATGGCAGCAGGCAGGTGTGAGTGCATCTGCACGCACAGTGAGGCGAAGACTTTTGGAGGATGGCCTGGTGTCAAGAAGGGCAGTGAGGAAGCCACTTCTCTCCAGGAAAAACATCAGGGACAGATTGATATTCTACAAAAGGTACATGGATTGGACTGCTGAGGACTGAGGTAAAGTCCTTTTCTCTGATGAATCCCCTTTCCGATTGTTTGGGGCATCCGGAAAAAAGCTTGTCCGGAGAAGACAAGGTGAGCGCTACCATCAGTCCTGTGTCATGCCAACAGTAAAGCATCCTGAGACCATTCATGTGTGGGGTTGCTTCTCAGCCAAGGGAGTAGGCTCACTCACAATTTTGCCTAAGAACACAGCCATGAATAAAGAATGGTACCAACAGATCCTCAGAGAGCAACTTCTCCCAACCATCCAAGAACAGTTTAGTGACGAACAATGCCTTTTCCATCATGATGGAGCACCTTGCCATAAGGCAAAAGTGATAACTAAGTGGCTCGGGGAACAAAACATAGACATTTTGGGTCCATGGCCAGGAAACTCCCCAGACCTTAATCCCATTGAGAACTTGTGGTCAATCCTCAAGAGGCGGGTGGACAAACAAAATCCCACAAATTCTGACAAACTCCAAGCATTGATTATGGAAGAATGGGCTGCCATCAGTCAGGATGTGGCCCAGAAGTTAATTGACAGCATGCCAGGGCGAATTATAGAGGTCTTGAAAAAGAAGGGTCAACACTGCAAATATTGACTCTTTGCATAAACTTAATGTAATTGTCAATAAAAGCCTTTGACTCTTATGGAATGCTTGTAATTATACTTCAGTATACCATAGTAACATCTGAGAAAAATATCTAAAAACACTGAAGCAGCAAACTTTGTGAAGACCAATACTTGTGTCATTCTCAACTTTTGACCACGACTGTACATTAGAGTGTCTAGTTTGAGAAACAGACACCTCACAGGTCCTCAACTGGCAGCTTCATTAAATAGTACCCGCAAAACACCAGTCTCAAAGTCAACAGTGAAGAGGCGACTCTGGGATGCTGACCTTCTAGGCAGAGTTGCAAAGAAAAAGCCATATCTCAGAGTGGCCAATAAAAAGAAAAGATTAAGATGGGCAGTCTGAGATATGGCTTTTTCTTTGCAACTCTGCCTAGAAGGTCAGCATCCTGGAGTCGCCTCTTCACTGTTGACGTTGAGACTGGTGTTGAGGGTACAATTTGATGTTGTTTTAATGGGCAAAAAAATTGCTTTTCTTTCGAAATCAAGGACATTTCTAAGTGACCCCAAACTTTTGAACGGTAGTGTATATTCATTTGAAATGAAGGAGGTAGCTAGCTAACAGAGGAAGTGGCTCTAGTGTAGTTTGCAATCCATTGATCAATACAAGGGGAAAGCGCTGTCAAGACAGGTGTCTTTCTTATAACTTCAGTCGACTAGTTGTTATCAACGCAAGTATCCTAGCTAGCTAGTTTCCGATTTACCTAACGTTAGACATCCTGACCAGCTGCATCTTGGTTGAGTGGTTCACTGACATAACTAGTTAGCAAGTTATTTAGCCAGCCCCAAACGAACACATAATATTGGATCACTTCCAACATTCGTCATTGAAACAATAATTAAGTAGCTAGCTAGTAGCGCTTGCCTAACGGTACCTAGCTAGATAAACGACTCAGCTAGCTAGCAGGTGTGAATGTCCATCATCTACTGTAGCTAGCTAATTTAGCAAGATAGCTAACGTTAGCTAGCCTCCATCCTTGAACAATGTCATTTCGATTGCAGGGGTAAAACCATCTACACGCGCAAATATTTATCAATATTTGTTAATATGGTTTTTCGAAAACAACATAAAGCTAGCTAAATACACACATCCGCGGTTTCGACAAAAAAAAAATATAAAAGTCG